GCTGCACGTAGCGAAGCCGAAGCCTTTGTCGCCTTCCACCAGCTTCTTACGCAAGAGCTACCCGGCTACATTCGCGGCGCAATCGACGGAGTGCACAAAGGGCTGGCATTGGTTGACAAGGTGTTATCGATCGTGGATCCAAAACTCAGTCTTTACCTGATGTCCAAGAACCTCTCCGCCGAGATCTATGCATTCCCCTCCGTACTGACGTTGTGCGCATGCACGCCACCTCTGCCCGAGGTCCTACGCCTGTGGGACTTCCTCTTCGCATACGGTCCGCATCTTAACATTTTGTGCATCGTTGCGCAGCTGATCATGATACGCACAAAGGTCATGGAATCGCCCAGGTATGACATCCCTCCAATCGATAACTCGTTTCTGAGGTGGACTTTCAAATGCTGACATGCTGGTCTTTGCCCAGTCCTAACAAACTGCTCCGATCTTTCCCTGCCCTTCAGGCTGATTTGATCAAGCGGACCACTTTGACCGTGATACGAATGATACCCGACGATGTCTACGCTGAAATCGTGGTTCATGCCAAGTGATGGAACTTCCAGAAATTCATATGCATGCAGCATATTCGATAAAAGACATTCAGAGAGCGAAATTGGACGTGAAGCGTCGAGCGGCACCAAGCGTGGTAAACCTGCACTCGAACTTGACTCACCCAAACAACAAATCGTGCCGTAATGCTCTTACGACTACGGTCTACCTGGCGAAGATCGGATGAAGCGGCCATGCCTTTCCGCTGTCCGGGTTTCGTGCCTTTTACTTGCGGGTTGCTGAGTGCTGGCATAGGCAGTAAATGCCGCGCCGAGTATACTATGTGGGCGCGTCCAGCGTGGGCTTGCGAAACTTTCTTCGTGAGACAAGATCAAAGAGCTCGCAGCGCTTGCCTGCTCTCAGACTCGAGAAGTAAGTTCGGTTAAGGGATGATAGAGAACTGATTGGAGGTCCGAAAGGGCAAACTCCATCCGCGAAGATACAGCAAAAGGGACGAATAATCGGCATCCCCGCGAATCCTGCAGTAGGCATTTTGAAGTCGCGGTCCTCTCAAGCTTGACCTTGCTAATCCAACTTGGAATCGCTTGGTTTGATCCCTCTACCATTCCGACAGACTGGCGGCCTAGGAACAGGTGTTTTGCACACAAGGTGTAATGTGGGGTGTGGATATATCATCTCTTGACTGCCCAAGCCATCGGAGTTCCTGCTCGCGGGGGTGATGGCCGCTTATATCGCGTCAAACGTCGACACGAGACGGGCCAATCCAGAATACGCTCGTCTCGGTTTCCAGAGGATGACATAGTCCTTAGAAACAGTGGAGATAGAAAAATGATGTTGATATAGCGGATTCCCAGGTCAAAAGGGATAAGGGAGTTGGAAAGAAAGTAAGGGAAAGAGGTATAGACTCCTCAGGCCTTTACTAGCAATTGACTCAAAGCGAACGTCGGATAGATGACTCTAGATAGAACGTTGGTACAGCAAATCTCAACAGAAAGCCCCCAATAGAACCGGTCTAATATACATGCCGGATTGATCATCTACTGGCATTGACACATTCATCACAGTTCTTTCGTTGTGCCACGGGCTTCATATATAAACCAAAACTCGTATAAACCTCTAAATTAAACCATGTATCGCTGCGCCCTAAATGCTGTTGTTATGCACCAGTTGCCCTATTATTCTTCAGTTCCCGTTTTATCCCTTCGCCCTCGATTCCTTTGATGTACGTGCTTTTCAGCACCGAAATTACTTTCAAGACACAATCACCATCGTCAATAGCGCTACTCCGTACTCTATGCGACTTCCTTCATCTACTGATTTTCCGCTTCCTAGCCTCAAAGATGTTCTTCATCTCCCCATCCAGGCTGGGCAAGATGTTGCCGTTCTGCCACCGTCACGGCGAATGCCAGGGAACCTGTCGACTGTTCAAGGTTGACTGAGTCATGGCGGGATGACGAGATGGGGGAAACCTAGTATCAGGATAGTCATGTTCTTGGAGTGTTGGCAAATGCGCCTATCATCCCCAGTCCTTTGTTTTCACTCGCTGTCTCTGTATGATTCGGAGCGAAACGTTTGTTGTAGCGATAGACTTCATTGACGTAGCGATATGTGACTGGAAATATGCCCGCTCTCGTTCCAAAAACGGCAAGAACTCGAATTCTAATGGTACCCCAATGAAACTTATGGGGCCTTTCTCTCCTCCGTCATCAGACCTAATACATAGGGCAAGCATCCTGGGCGCGCCTGAAGGCATTTGAAAAGAACTCCTGCATGGCATTGTAGTGGAACAGGATGCCGCCGAGAACAGCCATGTGCCAGAGGTTGTGGCTGCCGCCAACGTAATCGAACATGCCGGGGCACCACCTTTCAGGGACCTTGCTGGCGTAGACAAGAGCACCGAGGAAGTAGACGAAGAGCGACTCGAGTATAGGCGAGTAGTGCTCCCACACCGACATGCCACCGCGGGTGAGCCAGATCTGGAAGATGGGTAGGAAACCGCTGGCGGAAAGACCGATGTAGAAAGCAACTCTCACCCAGGCCATATCCTGCCCGTTAAAGCGAGGGTGCCACGGGAGGATGACACCGCCGACACCAAGGAAAGCTGTCGCGATCATGTAGACCCACCGGCTAACGGGCTCGCAGTAGAAGGCCGTGTATTCGGTGGTGATGATGGAAGCAGCAATGAGAAGCGAGATGCCGGTGTAGTCGACGCAGGCGAACATGGAGATCAGGTTGACATCGGCGACGGAGTTCATGGTATGCCAGATGACGCTGCAGGCCAGGCATTGGCAAGCCGCAAAAAAGAAAATGGCGGCGATAACGATGTCGGTCGTGGTGCTCTGCGAAAAGTTGATGCTGGTGGGGTAGAAGTAGAAAGCAACGGCCAGGACGAGAATGAGACCTATGGCATGGGACCAGATGTTGATCAGCTCGTTAGAGAAAGTGAAAGCTGACCTGATGCAGGCCAGCTTGTTTTCGGAAAACCGATAGCCTTTTTGAATATGGGGATTAATCCTCCACGGGATTGGGAGCTCCTCGTAGCTGATCAAGCCCTTCTCCCTCGCTTGATTAATGGCACGCTGAATATGGTCTTCGAGGTTCTCGGCAGCACGCATGGCCCTCTCAATACCCTCCTCCATAACTCTCTTGCCCTCGCCCATGAGACTCTCGGCAGCATTGGCCAGCCCCTTCTCACGAAGCTTGGCGGCCTGGGTCTCTCCGTCTTCCAGCAATCCGTCCAGCAGATCGATGCCGACCTTGGCCTTTTCGTTCAGCGATCCAGCGGCGGCCATGGCTTCGTGATAGCTCGTCTCTAGGGTCTCGACCAGAACATGGAGACGTCTGCGTCCGGCACCCATCACTTCCTCCGAAACGTGAGAACATCTTGTTCGTACGGCCTGCAGCGTAGACAGGGCCACCTCGATCGAGGAGTCGAGAGTCAGTTCTCCATAGTTCTCCCAGTACTCCAGCCGGCTCTCTAGCTCGACGAGGAAGGCATCCATCTTGAGCAGCAAGGCCTCTTCGCCATCCACGATACTGTTGACAAACGACTTCCGCCGGGCATTGAGCTGGGATTTCCGGCGATTCCGGAGGGCCGGTCTTTCGGGGGCATTGGCCGCGCCCGAGGTCCGAGCCTCGGTGTTGTCATCATGGGCGGCGAAGGAAAAGGGGGAAGCACACTCCATGGTTGTGCGGTTGTTCGGTTGTTCGGTCGGTTACTCGAGGTTTGGCAAGAGGCGAGTGCCGTGTGCGGACTGGTCGTCACCCGAAACGCTGTGTGATCCAGGCCCGTAATTCGAACAGTCGTGGCGTCAACCGGTGAGCCTGTTATCATGTGCAGCACGAAGGATGTCAAGACACGGTATCGGAAGCGGAAGCGGTGGTGGTGACACAGAGGAGTCGGCGAAGTTCGAAGTCTGCCACAGAGGTGGGAAGGACGTCGGGACGGGAGGGGCTCTGAGTTCCGACGGAAGCGTACTAGCCGTACCGATTGACCACTGGTTTCGCGCGCTTCAGGGGATTTCGATTTGCCCGGAGGACATAAGACAGCGAATTCCAGAAGGCAAAAATTTGCGTGGGTCCGCACTGCAACCTGGTTGGTAGATCGGTTTGACTTGCAGGTATCTCGACGCACGACGCTTCTTTGCAAATACCGTCTGTTGATAGTCGACAGCGCAACTTCTGAATGATTTTATAGACAACAGCGCAGAAGATTTCGAGAACAAGACTTTAGAAAGGAGTCCAGGGTGGAGATCAAGACGGGAAAGCGGGAAGAAACCACGGACACAGGAGACACCGAATGGAAAGGGTCAAGAGAATTGGCTCGGACTCCCAAAAGTTCCAGGGAAGTGGAAAGCTTCCACTTTTGCCCTCGCCGTCTCATCCTATTAGTCGCCCGCAGAGCGCGCCGAGCGTGCCCAGCCGCCGGCCTCTTTTCGTTGCTGGGCGTTCTGTTTTGATGGGCTCCTGCAGTAATGGGCCACAACTTCTCCCACCTTCCCTTCTTCTTTACCTTTTTCCGTCTTCCTTTTGCAGGCTGAAGTCCCTCCCGCAGACAGGGCGAAATGGGCCATGATGGGTGAGAGACAATGGAGAAGCCGCGGGGCATTTTGGTGAACTGCCATTCATGGGCAGTTGCATCTCATTGAGCGGCGATCATTGCGGTGCATTTGGCGGTCGTCAGGAGGAACCATTCCATTTGTTCTCTTCCTGAAAGGGGAACGCCTAGAACCGCCTAAACCGCACATGGTTCTAGCGCAAGCAGGGAAAACCTGTAAAGATTTCTGGCCAATAATGTCGCGGGAATACGGCCCTACCGCGCTCAGATCCCCACCTCTGTGGAGTCCCAGACTGCGCTGTTTCGAGCCTGTGACGCTGATCCAAGGCGCACTAACGAACGACGGGAAGTGTCCGCCAAGCCTTTGTGTCTTTTGTTCATACCTGCCTCTACTGCCCATGGCGAAAATCAATCGATCAAAGATGGCTTCATCCAGAACCCACAAGCGACATCATCTTCCCCGCGAAATCAGAAGGATTGATGGTGGCTAATCAACCACACTGCGACCTCATAACCTCTGCCCGTTAAACCACTTTAGGTAAATGCATTCACCCTCCCTCGAATATTGTCGTCAGTCGAAACTGGGCTGTTTGAAATCAATCTTGGCTTACACATTTCCACGACAGTTGGCCCTACCAAGTCGTGTTCTTATCGAGATTCGTGCCAATCACAGCTTCAGCAACTTCAACGTTGCCGTCGCAACCGACCGACAGCAACCACGATACTGACGATTACCATGGCCGCCGACGGATCCATCACCGATCCCCTGCTCGTTACGGTTCTTGACACGTCGAGAGCCGCGCGCGAGCAAGCCGTGGTTCTCATTGATCGCATCCAAGAAGCTCTTGATGCTGCAGGCAACGGGCCTCTACCTTTGGAAGCCCAGGCGGAAATCTCAAAGCAACAGAAACTGCTCAACACCAATATCGCCCAGCTCCGCGGTCTACACCGGTCTGCTCATTTCAAGGCGCGTGAGACGAAAGGTCAAACAGCAGAGGTACGCCACGAGGTCGACGTGCTCCATCTTCAACTACAAAATCTCTACTACGAACAAAGACATCTGGAGGGAGAAATCGCAGCTTGCGAGTCCTTTGAGTTAGTACCCTCTGAACATTGTTGGTTGTCGTTCTGCGTAACAGTAATTCGCTAACAAAAGCTTCTTTCAGGCATACCTATCAAAAGCTTCCTCTGATTCCTGTCGAGGAGTTCCTAGCTCTACATCCCGAGCATGCTGATGATGATGAAAACGACCTCATGGTGGCGCGTATCAATCATGAGAGAACCGAGCGAGAAGCGCTTGAGCAGCAAAGGGTCGAGTTGCAGAAGCGCAAACAGAAACTGATTGCCGATAACAAAAAGCGACGCGACGATCTGGCCAATCTGGACAAGGATTTAGAGAAATTCATCGATGTGAGTAGCTTGAATCTGGTCTCGATCTGTGGATTTGTGACGTGAAAGCTTGACTAACCCAAGTCTAGGCCGCGAAACCCATCCAAAAGCTCTTCGAGAAGGTTGTGTGAGGCGGCAATCCATCATGCATTGCACCTCACTGCTGTGCACGAGTTACATGGCTGTTTCACTCAGCATCTCCTTGCCATTCGCAGGATATGCGTGACACACCGAGGTTTATACCCGCAAAGACGCCTTCAAAGCAGCTAAAACTCGCTAAAAACCGCCACACAAGACGATGGCCATCGAGTATTGCATGAGATGCAAGCTCTAGTGTTTAACGCCAGATCCGCATTGCCACAAGGTTGCCAGCCTTACTATGGTTTGTTCCTCGCCCACCGGTTTCGAGGGAGAAACATGGCTGGGTTGTTTGTTGGGACCGGGCACGCCTTGAGTCTAAGATATGACTAGGCCTGATGTTGCCATGGAGATTGCCCGTTCGGTAGGCCCTTCTATCAATGTCGAAGAAGGATGTCTTCTGAAAGATTACGTCGACATTGAAATCGTGCCTACACAGAATGATGAAGCTCATACTTGTCAATCCTGTCGTCAGGGAAAATATGGAGTAAAGCCACGACGGTCATCGCACCGGTGCTCGCTAACCTTGCGAGCTACGTGGATTATGGGAGGAATGGACAAGAAGCGCGCCCATCATTATAAGCGCGCCGGTGCAGGTATCGATAAGGTTCCAACTGCAAGGATATGGTCGGGTACAGTGGAACATAACATCTGGATGATGTCTGCACCGTGAGCTGGGTTTCAGTCTGGTATGCGGAATCAAGCGGAAGAGGACAGGAACTGGACTGAACTTTGCCTATAAACATTTCGGTTTACAACATGACGCTTGACCCATATGAGAGATTTGTTCTCGAACTCCTCATTGAATTTTATCCCCTCTAATCTTCCAGGGCTGTGATCTCTACCAGTACCTGCATATATGGTTTGACAACCGCTTTACGCGGTATAGCATGTTTTCTGCAAGCTCGCGATTTCTCCGCGATAGAGATTACTACACCTTGGGACATGTGTGGTAGCCCAGACCATCATTGTGTGCCAAGTACCTGGTTCTCAGTAAAATTCTGAAGGCGCAGAGGATTGACCCGAAATCATCCGCGGTTTCCCCCGACTAGGCGGACTGTTAAGTTGACCATGACTTACTATGCACTTTCCTCGCTCGTCAAGTCGACTTGTTGGGTTTTCTTTTGTCATTTTGCCCGTTGTGTTCGATCAGAACATCGTCAAGTCTCAAAGAGCCTGTGATTGAGGAACAACAGCCCACGTGCATCCAAAAGCCACTATCGCCAAGCAGAAGCAATCAGTACAGATGTAACCTGCCCGATTCTGTGGTTACAGCGTTACGTACCTGCATTCTCGACCGACTACCATGGCACAGTGAGAGTTGATCTCATGAAAAAGCACAATGGTATCACAATGCGTTAGACCATTATGAGTACGTAATCACAGCTGGTGAACATCTGGACCATGCTGTATCCTTTCCCATCATCTATCCTAGGTGTGTTTTCTTCCTCTATTACAATCCATCTCGATCACCAACAGCGAAATCAAAATCACAACCCAAGGCCCAGATATGCCAACAAAAGAGACCTTTAGTTGAGGACTCTTCGGCCACGTCCTTGGTACAATGAATGCTTCAGCCCGAGCAACAGTCTGCGAGGCAATGTATGGAGACTTTAACCGTCTCCAAGGCCCTACATTGTACAACACATTTGAGGAAGTCGTGTACACTGTGTAGATGTGGTGCAACAGTTGGGCACAAACCGACATGGTCTGGGCCTGGCAGAGAAAGGGACCCAGGGCATCACGGATCGCAATGTGGTCTTCAACCAAATACGAGTGACACGACAATCTAACCCTGGTTTGTTTGTTGGTTTGGTACAAGAAACGCCCATTTCCACTCTCGTACTACTGGAATGGAAAAGTATTCCGGGTTTGAGCGGACGGGTGCCGTCGGGGACTGCTGTCTTATATCTTTTCGGGGTTTGAAGACCTTGATTGGAGATGAAGAGAGGCATAAGAAGGCTTTTGTGGCGTTTTCAACCCTGGCTAGTGTGAGAGTTCCAGATTTCCCCTGTTCAACCTATGGCTGAAGAACCAAACTAACAAACAAACCAGTATCGAATTGTAGTACCGTGGCCTCAATCTCACCAGCTACCCAAGCCCTTGACGGATCTGCCCCAGGACCACAGGGAAAGACGGTCTACAGTACACAGGTACTATGGAACATGTATGGTAAAGGCATGTCGGAGGGCTCGCCGATCGGCCAAGCATCAAGAAATGATGTTCAAGCGGCAAGACATTAGACATGGGAACTCCCGACCGAGAGATACCCAATCCTTATCCATAACTTGTCTTCACGCATCCGAACCGAACTGAACCGACGGACGGCATACCGCTTCTTTCTCTCTCTCTCTCTTTCTTCGTTTTTTTTTTTTTTTTTCCCTCTTAACTTACATGATGTGGTTTCATTCACATCACGATGATAGATACCACTAAAATCTCACTCATCCCTTTGTCGGCGCAGATGTAACTTCACATCCACACATGCTGTGGCCAATCAATCATTTCAATTTCATGCAGAGTACTGCTTGGCGCCGCGGCATGATGCTACCTCTGCAGTGGCTCAAGAGCTCGAATGAAGCCGGATAAAACGAATGTGCGTGATTCCAAAGGGCCTGCCTGTGTGGATCCAAGGTCAAAGTCACCTCTACCACAGTACACTACAGTAGTGGTTAAGGTTGCAGTTAGGGTTAGTTTTTTGGGGGGCAGGGGGCCGGCGAGAGGCTCCCGCGTGTGAAACAAGAGTTCAACGCCTTCTTGAACTCGGGTCTCGTTGTCGTGCCTTAGCTGCTTAGTTCAAGATGATATAATTCTCCATTACTGTGTAGTACTTACGCTAATGAATTCCTGCGGTCGCGAAGTTGGCGCGAACTTAATAGTGTACAGACGGGTCCCCTGTTCCAACAACCCCAAAAATCTGGCTAAAGGGGTTGTTCGAACAGGGGGGTTTGCTGGAAGTGGTGTCGTGCACAGACCACTTTCCTTCCAGGCCGCCTAAAAAAATGCACCAAAACTGGCATGCCAAGCCAAATTTCCCTTATTGCGGACCCCGTTTTCCCGATTCACCATACAAATTAACAGCAAATCTGTCTCTCCGGGGTTGCTAGTTGTCCGGTTGCGCTTACCAGGCAAAATATGCCAGATTTCGCTATGGGGGTTGCTACAACAGGGGGGGTTGCTCGTACTGGGGGTTGCTTGAACAGGGGACCTGTCTGTATAAGCTTCAGTTAAGGTCTTGGCTGAGCTTGGCTCTCAGCTCGTATGGCCCCACACAGGTGGTTCCTGAGCTGTTGGATACAGCCGGCGCTTTATCCGGGTTGGCTCGAATTGTACTGTTAGCGTTGGCAACTACAGTCTTGACGAGCTCCTTACCTTAGCTGGCGAGCTAGGGCGCTGAATACCTGCTGCGTATCTATGTAGTGGGGACGCTAAAAACTTTTGCAGTGACCGTTAGGTAAACGGATAGAGGTAACGGAGATGCTCTGTCGGAAAGGAAACGGACGCTCTACACAGAAATACTACCTCTAGTATGTGAGAGGCTTGAGCTTTCTAACTTCGTATACAGTACACCTCTGCTGAGATATAGCGTAGCTTGTTGGCGTTGTTTCCTCGGGGTGCCAAAGTTGAATCTTGGTACAAGAAACAGCCAGTCTGTTGTCAGTCTCTTCCCTAGTTGTCAAGTTACTTTACTGAGATGGAAGAACTACATCCCAGCAGAAGTCACGGTGTAAATCAGTTGTGTGGAGCTCACGCAAACTGCTCACAGTAGAGGCGGCCAAAACCCAAAGCTTGCATTTTAGGCATCACTCTGGCACAGCAACCATCACCAAGTCCTCACCAAAGGACACAGTTTACACTCCGACAGTGATAGCTCAAAACTACCATTTTTCAGAACGCTGAGCTCTCGTTCGCATCACACCATGCACCCGGAACTAGCCCTATTACCAAACCTTAACCGCTAACGCTCAAACTACCTACTATGTAACCTTGGGACAAGCCCGCCAAAAAATCACACAGTTGATTTGTCAAGACAGACAATTGATTTGCCCATCTCTTATCTGTAAATGCAACATCTTGCCAGCTGGATTGGATCATTGTCCTGGCACGATCTACCTACTGCGTGAGAAGCATCTCCGTTATGAGTGAGATTTTGTGGTATCGGAGCTAAGTCTACTTATTAAAATCTGCACCGTGCAAGTCCCGCCGAGTGGAGTTCGTCGCTGCTTCTTGGATGAAGGTTTCTCCTTCCCGCCCTTGGCGAAGCTTGTTTTTCCTGGGGCAAAGCTTGATTTGTCTGATTCAAACTGTACCTGTAGGTACTTGGCGCCCTGCAACCTCCAAATGAACTATAGCGCGACAATTTCTGGCTCCGACCAGTCCACTTCTTGCAAGTTCATGCAGTTACAAGATTCATTAAAAAGGATCCAGTAACAAGAGTGGATGAGCAAGATCACATTGAGTGAAGAAAGTGGAAGCAGTGCCAGAGTGCTAGTGTAGAAGATCTAGACTGCCAAGGCTTTCCATACGCAGGGACCAAAAAGGGGGTTACTTAGTAGGGGTTGGGTGACGGCCTTTCAGCCCCCCCTCTTTAGCAAAAGAAACCGAATGTGGAAGGATCAACACCTAGGGTCAATGAGATCTCAAGGGTCCATGAGCAGAAAACATCAGGATGCTCGCAGGCTAGTAACCGTCAAGATAATTTCCCACTCATACCGCGCAGAACGCATAGGGACATGATCTGTGAAACAAGAACATCAAACACAACCGACATTCTCATCACCTGAAGAGATCTCATACCAACATAAAGCCCGGTCAAGTCTGACCATCCAAAGTATCCACAGTATTGAACAGAGGCGCAGTCGGGTGCTTGCTGTGGGCTAGGAGTACGTATGTAGACAGACGTGTTGGGATAAACCAACCATTGTGATCAATTCGGCGTTGGATGCAACGGTCGATTAAATGACTCAGCATGCTGGATCAAGATCCTTTGGTCCGGTCTTGCGAGGTGACGGAAGGATTCCTTCTGAACGTGTCCTTCAAAGAGCGACCAAATTTGACGAAATTTCAGGGGGAGGTCCTAGCTTCGAGATGAGGTTTCTGAAACTGGGGGTAAAGGCTCCATCCAAGCCATCGCTTAACCCCCATGTCTACCTACTTAGCGCCGTCAGCTTGCAGTGTATCAAGTGCGCACCGCGAGACATTTATTAACAGAGGCATCCGGTCGTCTGATCTTTCCTGTACATCGCAAGAGCGGTACAAATTCCTCACCGTCGAAATGGTTCACCGTTATGAGTCAGATCGGCCAGGTACAACGAACCGTTCAGTCGGCCGCCGCTACCATCCACCCAACCACCTTCGGCGCCGTTGCAGCCAGCAGCACAACCAACTGCACCGCCTCCCGAACCGCCACTCCCTTTCTTCTCCCCGAGGGTCTTCCCAGTCGTTAGACGTCGATTATCCTTGAAGCTCCCCATCATTCCCACAGCTTCCTATTCCCGTGCTCCTTCCACGTGTACCTTTTGACCGGGCACCAATCCCCGTTGAATGATTTGGAACGTGTCCGAGGAAATTCCGCTCAAGTCCCGCTATGTCCAGGCAGAACCGTTGTGTCCTGAGCCACAAATGAGCCGTGGTTCGTTATCGGCGGTGAGGTACCGTATAGAATCTCAGCCTCAGGGACAGCGACAGAGCACCCGGGCACTTGCCCAAGGAATTTTACCAAATCAAAAGAAGGGACGACAGAGGCCAAGAGATCCCAGCGTGGTGTGGTCCGATTCCAAGTGGAAGTCTCCCAAGAAGTATTCGACGAGGGGCAGACCGGCAATGCTCCCTTCCAGTCGTGTCCGTACGTAACGTAGAAGAAATACATGATGATACTCGTGCAAAGTAAAATTCTAGGGTTAGTCCTGTTGCAAGGGTCGCGCTTGTTTGAACATCTTCCATTTCAAAATCACTTTCCGGACCATCCACGTTTGCCTGTTGCCGCGGCTGATCCTGACTGGATTTTTGGGCTTTCCTTCGACCTTTTCCCTTTGTCTTGCTCGCCGGCCACCACAACGGCACACCCTTCAGTCCTGGTTCGACTGCACCACTTCATTTTCTTACGACACTTATTGTTTCTTTTCTTTACCTGGAAACATTTGTCGCCTCTACTCATATCCAGATGTTCCTCATTACGTGGTGTTCCCGGCGCGCCGGCGGCCTGGCTATGGCCGGTACGATATGGTTAACATACTGGGTTATCTCTGGAGAACGCGGGCATCAACTACATGGCTACAAACAACATGAATCAATCGACAGTCTTGCCTCTAATGCGCCTACCAACAACCTCGTCGGCCCCAGTAACCGGGTCCGCGTGTTCGCCTACTACTGTCTTCTCATCCACTTGCTCGTCGCCATATTCCCACTTCGTTCGAACTGGGCCCTTTTCACTATCACCAAGAGCCTTCAGAAGATGGTGCACATTGCGACCGCCAGCAGAGACCTTGATTTGGCCCATCAGCGCCGCGGTTCTTCGACCTCATTATCCAGCGCCGAAACTCTGACCTCCTCCAGGGAGTTGACCTCAAGCTCGTGCAGCGAAGCTGGAGAATCCGACATCGAGCTCAGCGTTGACTCCGAAATGACGCCCAACATGATCATCCATGCCATCGTCATTCCCAATTATAAAGAAGAAAACGACACGCTAAGGGAAACACTCGAGGTTTTGGCATCGCACCCTCAAGCACGAGCCACCTACGATGTGAGTTTCCCATCTCAGATCCGTACCTAACTCGAGTCTCTCCCGGCGATGGCATAATTCCCTGGGGCTCCGTTAGTAGGGCTTTAAGGAGCGAAGCGAAAAGAGTGAAGTTATGGACTCTGACTGACGGCTCTTTACCAGGTCTACCTAGCCATGGAACAGCGGGAAACCGATGTGGAGAACAAAGCCATGTTGCTCGTAAACGAGTTTATGAGACGATTTCGGTCCATCAGCTTTACCGTGCACCCGTCAAACATCCCGGGAGAATTGGCTGGAAAAGGCAGCAACCTTGCGTGGGCAGCGAGACAGCTCAGCCAGAGATATACACCTGCTCAACGGAAAGATGTAATTGTGACTGGAATCGATGGTAAGTGCCGCGGCGTCGCGATTGGAGGGTGGCTTCCCACACCTAAATCCCACGCCTTCCGCTCTTGGCTTCTTGCAAGCTTGATTGCGCATCATGATTCGCTAACCAGCCACGCCTACAATGCAGCCGACAGCCATCTCTTGGCCAATTATTTCACGCTAGTCACTACAATGCACGTGGCACATCCCCAAACGGCGACGACCACCTTGTATTCTGCGCCGATTATCTTCGACCGTAATGCTCACAACGTGCCTGCTATAGTCCGGGTTGCGGACATCATGTGGTCCGCCGCCGGTATGTCGGGATTACATGAAGGGTCGTATGTTGCGCCCCCTACATCAGTGTACTCTCTGCCACTCGAATTGGTCGACAGGGTTGGGGGTTGGGATTGCGATTCAGAGGCCATTGGAGAGGACCTTCACATGTATTTGAAGTGCTTCTTCGCTCTCAACGGAAACCTTACCGTCCGAACGGTCTTGAGCCCCGTCAGCCAGACCAACGTTACCGGCGGCGGGCGCGACAAGGGCCTCAGAGGAATCGGCATGGACATGAAGGCCCGGTATAAACAAGCGCTACGTCACATGTGGGGCGCTTTGGATACGGGCTACGCATTGAGGAAGATGGCTGAGGTTTGGAGGGAAAGGAAGCACACATCGCGCGCATTCCGCCCGCTTCATACTTCTCCGTGAGTACTATCTGCATCCATTCTTGTACGTGGAAAGGATACGCTAACATAAGTCCGATCTAACTAGAGACGGCTCCGATGGCTACATCCCCCAAGCCCAACTCGATATATCCAACCGTACTGGCTTCTTCTCGGATATCGTCACCGATACGTTAGAAGGGCCCGACTACACCCGTATCTTTGTTTTGTTTCATCGACTATTCGAAGCCCATTTCTTGCCGGTGCAGATGACTATCCTGGTGATCGGCTCTACGCTGTACCTGTGGCTGGTAGACGGGGCGGCTGATGCGCCTGGCATAGGATGGATATTTGGTGTTTGCAACGTCCTACGCACTCTTGGATTCATAGAGGTTGGCCTATACCTCTTCCTCTACGAAAAGTTCCACAAGATTTGCGTCGAAACTCGCGAGAAGGAGATGAGCGACGCCGGCCTCACCAAGGGCATGCATTTCTCGCACCGAGCGCCCAAGAAGAACTGGATCGATTATTTCATGGTCCCACTAGTTGCAACGGCATACGGCTCCATTCCTTGCGCTCAAGCTCTGATCTGGCACTTTTGGACGTTGGACCTGGTCTATACCGTGAGCAAAAAGGTAACCCGACAGAGAGGGAAATCAGTGTCATCAACACCAGAAAAGAAGGTTGAGACAATGGTATGACGAGAAGGGAAATGTTGTGGTGTCGTTCAATTCATCGGGGGTTTTCCTCTTCATCTCTTCCGATTCCTGGCGTTGTCACCTGACAGCCCCGTGGATGACGAAGCAGTAAGTCATACTCTTACTTTATTTACTTAATGACTGCTTGAGCCTCAGATCAGCTGCCTCTGTTCAGTGCGTTCAACAATCACGCCATGATGCTTTTTCTTATACACTTTTCCGGTGGCAGCTTTCTGCTCCAAGGGGTTATGGGGCGGCTTAATGTACATAGAGGTCACGTTTTGGTTTTGCTCTGCATGGCTGGGAGCTGGAAGTTCGCATCTAGATTCGAAATTCGGGTTTCGGTATCGATCTGGTGAGGTAATTGGGAAACGAAGCGACTTACCTTGAGGCAAGCTAAATGATAATGTTAATATTACTCTTCCAGATTTGGTCTCTTGCCATAAAGGAGGGAACATGAGGAGTACGGAAGGTCATCATCTGGCGTGAGAATCGAATTGGACCTTGCACTGAACAAAAGGGGGACCTTGACCTCAGTCACCACGATGCGGCTGGAAGCTTGGACAAATTTGCAAGTTGACAAGGGCTTATCTATTACGAGTAGCTTACACTCAAAACTGCATCTATACTCAGCATTGAGAACCACTTCTGGAACAGACCGCATCTGGTACTTCTCCCATAGTTAAAAATCGAAGCATGCGTTCATCGCTTATAGAAGACTGTTAGACAGTCGAGCCCGCGAATGTCATGATTGATGTGCATACTCGCACCAACATCGGACATGTAGTGCGACAGTAACAGGAGGAAGAGACCGGATCAAGTCGGGGCAGCGAATTGTACAACCATGACACATTCGCATCGCATGCCTGTTCGAGCCGTAACTGGGGACAAGGTACACAGACTTCAGAAATGAACAAGTTTCCTCCTGTTCCAGCATGAGAATTGTCATATTCAAGCTTACTCGACCCCATTGAATCTCAATTCTGGGCGTGCTCGGAGGTTGTAAAACCACTCAGCCATCCAGTGGCTGATACGACTCTTTGCGTCGCTAAGACCTTGGGCTGGTTGATGGAGCTGAATTGACTATCAGTGTGTCCAGCTGTGTAATAATGTCGAATGGCTCTAAGTGCCGCATTGGTTCGGAGGGGGGTAATCGAGAAGAAGATGGTTATGATCGCGTGTAGTATCGATGCTTGATCAGAGACACAGCAGTGACCGAAAGAACACCAGAAGCATACATCCGGTAGTATAGAACACACGACACAGCCGGTGTAATGTCCAGCTGTGATAATCACAATATAGAGAACTCACCTTCAACACAACCACAACTCGATTAGTCTCTTCCGGTCGATACAGCGCTGTGATAAGATGAACAACAACCCTTCAGCTGCAAGCGACTGTAAGTGGTGCGCATAGGCGTCTTCACCCCCAAAAGCGCCCAACTGGTCGACACAGCAAGTATCGACATCTTTGCCTCCATGAGCGGAGAGTACTTAGAAATGGTAGGGGAGGAGATGGTACCCCTGCCTATTTCCATGTTGGCGCGTAGTGTGGAGATCTTTTATTACATAGTTTAGTGCGATACTCAATGGTTCCATTTGATGATCCGCGGTCAACAAACCTACCGCTAGAGGCAATGATAATGATATGTAGCTCACTGCCCAAAAAAAATCGAAAAAAAAAATCAGCAGAGTCCAACTATTTATCACCCAATCCCTCTGATAGCCCCCATAAACATCCTCTTTGAAGTGGCACCAGGAAAGCTTGACATCATCTTGATTCCGGGACCGGAATCCTTAGCTTGATCTCGAAGAGGACCCAGCCGCTCTGTCGTGGCTGGCAGGGCATGCGAACAACACCAGTAATGCCCAGACGAAAATGATAGACATTCTAAGCATCTGCTCAGCCATCTACCTCTACAGTGCGGCCGGGATCCTCAAAAGCAAGAAAGCCTGTGGACCGTGAGGGTTGCAGGGAGATCTGCGGACGAGATTCGAGGACCAGGACGTTATTCGGGTGGCGGAGAAGTTGAGGTGGGTGGGGGATGGAAATCTCTGGCTTAGTGGTTTGTTTTCATCCCTTCCTGACTAGCCCCAGAAGACTGGGCTGACATTCGATGAATCCTATAGAAGGCGTAACCAACGACAATGATCTCGTTGCGGCTTACGCGAGGTAGAGCTGTCACTTCCCGGGCCCAGTGGCTAAGTCGGAATTGAAGCTCGTTAAGGTGGATGAGAGGCCGCAGAGACATGAAGATCGAGACAAGCTCTAGAGACTATTGCGTTGATGATGGGATGACTGTGGCATGCTGGGTTATCAAGGTGTGCCTGAAGGTTCAGTCAGAGTTTTACCTAATCTTGCTTTGAATCCCTTTTAATGCTTTCGTTGATGAATCCTTTCACTCAGGTGGAGTGAACCGTGAGCCTGGGGGACCGATGTGATGTCGGATGGCAACGCCGGGAGACTCCAGACAAGTACCTGTGGTGCATGGTGTTCATTCTTATACCTCGCACCTGATGCACTTTGCTCTGGCACCAATCAATCCTGCAGATGGCAAAAGATGGCAGTCCCGCGGCGACCACCTTCAAACCTCGAGTCGGTGATGACGAGTTGCAGTTTGAAATTCCCGTCGTCGCAAGGTTCCCATGCCAGCTCTAGGCACATCAAGCGTCCGCGCACGACGTTAGCGCGGAGCTTGTCGAGCTTTTCCCCGCTTTTGTTAGCAGACCGGCCTGCATTGACCGACATACCCTTGCTAGCTTGGCCTGGGGAGCGGGAGAGTGGCAGTAATCCGATAAGGAAGTCTTATCGCTAACAGACGGTACAGACGGTGGGGTGCCGAAATTTTTCTGGATTCCAAGTGCAGTTCGCCTGAACTTTTCCTGTCGACTGCCCTCGTCCTCGATCGCATTCTCTGCTTTTCCCAACTCAAACTGGTCGCATCCATCTTCAGACTTTTTCTACCCAGCCCATTCATCTTCTTTCAATCTTAGAAGTGTATACTTCCGACGACGACTTCGAGTTCCTGTCCCTTTAGTTTTCTTTAAAATCTAGACTTTTTGATACCCCGGCGCAAAGCACCACCCAATCTTCACAATGGCCCCCCTTATGCCTGTCGCCGTTTTTGGCTTGGAGGTTCCTCCTGGCGAGATCCTCATTCCCGCCGCCTCTGAGTTCCCTGCTATCGTAAGTGCACACTTTTCGGAGCCTTTGGCCTCTCGGTCGCAGGCAATGGCGCTCCACTGGACTGGGTTACACGGAGCTAACGACATGAATTCCAGATTCACATCACCATGGCTGCCCTCGATCCCACCAAGGCTCCTGAGGCTGACGGCCAAGGCAACATTCCCGCGCTTCCCCGCTCGACCCTGAAGATCATCAAGGCCACTGGCCACGACCATGACGACGATGATGAGGAGGAGGATGAGTACCTCCAGTCCCTCCTCGGCGGCGGCGACTCTGACGACGAGGCCAACGGTGGTCCCAGCGACCCTTCCAAGTCCAAGAAGGCCAAGCAGGAGGCTGCCATCAAGAAGCTTATGGCTGCTACCCAGGAGGAGTCTGATGAGGAGATGGAGGATGCCAAGCCCAACGGCAAGAAGGGCAAGGGCAAGGGCAAGGCCAGCGAGTCCGACGAGGAGGAGAGCGACGAGGAGAGCGACTGCTGCGGCGATGATGACCTCCAGCTTGAGGACTACGTTGTCTGCACCCTTGACACTGAGCGCGTAAGAAGCCCCTTCCACTCGGTGAACGCATTTTTGAGTTCTTGGAGCTAACCTGATTTTCCATATACAGAACTACCAGCAGCCCATCAACATCACCATCGGCGAGGGCGAGAAGGTCTTTTTCTGCGTCCAGGGTACCCACTCTGTCTATCTCACCGGTAACTTCGTTGTTCCCGAGGATGACGAGGAGGACAGCGAGGATGATGAGGATGAGTCCGACGACGAGGATTACGACTTTCCCCTTGGTGGCGAGGATGACGATTCCGACGATATGAGCGACGAGCTCGACGAGCTCGACGGCACCCCCCGTGTCAAGGAGATCACCTCGGAAGATGAGGAGGAGGAGGCTCCCAAGCTTGTCGACACCAGCAAGAAGGGCAAGAAGCGCCCCGCCGAGGACGATGCCGAGGGTCTCGATGCCATGATCTCCAAGGACGACAAGAAGCTCAGCAAGAAGCAACAGAAGAAGCAGAAGGTTGAGGAGGCCAAGAAGGAGGAGCCTAAGAAGGAGACCAAGTCCGACAAGAAGGTCCAGTTCGCCAAGAATCTCGAGCAGGGCCCTACTGGCCCTGCCAAGGACAAGCTTGAGAACAAGAAGCCTACCTCTACCGTCAAGGTTGTCCAGGGCGTCACCATTGATGACAGGAAGGTTGGTTCCGGCCGTGCCGCCAAGAACGGTGACCGTGTTGGCATGCGCTACATCGGAAAGCTCCAGAACGGCAAGGTCTTCGATTGTAAGTCTCACTTTTCCATATCATCACTCCCACAGTATCGACTAGAGACTAATATTCAATACAGCCAACAAGAAGGGTGCCCCGTTCTCCTTCAAGCTCGGCAAGGGTGAGGTGATCAAGGGTTGGGACATCGGTGTTGCTGGCATGGCTGTTGGTGGTGAGCGTCGTCTCACCATCCCCGCGCACCTTGCCTACGGCAGCCGTGCCCTTCCCGGCATCCCCCCCAACAGCACTTTGATCTTCGACGTCAAGCTCCTTGAGATCAAGTAGATTGTGACCTTTCGAAGCGTGGGGTAGGAAGGCTTTGGCTAGCGTCGCGATTTCTATGGCGGTTGTCATTCACAACCTTTCGTGTTCTATGGCTAGCAAGTCTTGGGATTTCTTTGGTCAGCACATATTTCCTTGCGCTCATGTTGGGTTTGGTCAAGGAAATGGGAATGTCATTTCAACAGCATAATGTCAAAAGTATTGGGTCTGGATTTTTTTTTGTACTTTGGGTTGTACATCGTTCATGGGGCACGATATACTCTATACTGCGTCTATCAATTGCAAAGGCGCAACATTTCTGCGTTACCTACACTCGACTCGGACTCAGCAAACTTGGATGTTTCAAGATGTCGAGGAAAATGTCTTTGATTGACGGACGGTAACAACTTTCAGGAAAGCGTGACAGTTGGCTACAAACACTGAGGCTTTCTTCAGAATCGTAGTCGTACCTGCCCTGTCTGTGCCTCAAGAGGTAAGTGTTGTTGACTTGGGGCAAGGGAGGCGCATCTAATGGGTAGTTCAGGTGATGCATAGGTATGGATGGAGCTGCCTTACTCCGAGTTGTCCTCTCTCTCACTGCACCTTGTCGTATTTCAACACCAAGACAAAATCCATCCACATCTTCCCACCTCCCCGCTCTGTTTCCATCTCTCCCACTAGGTATCATCATTGTATCTTTCAATATCATCATACCCGCCGCGACTCCCGACTGCCGCCAAACTAGGCCTCGTGCGTTACGATCGACCAACTTAGACGCCGTAACGGTTTCTACCATTCAATGGACGGGACCGAGCTTGAGACATGAAGAGGAGCTCTTCTCAGACATCAAGTCATTTGGGTACCACCATCCCGGTTTATCATCCAACTAGGCCTGGCGACTGCTCGCATAGGTCGTCTCTCGCTTCTTCTTCACCCAGTCAAGGTGCCCATCGCCCATCGAGATCTCACTGGCACAGGTCAAGGCTTGGTCTGGCTTTAAAAGCACTCACCCACAACGGTCAGTTGAATGAGAATGTATCATTGCTATCTGTTTGCCCCGATACAGAAGAAAATACTGATCAGTCTCTGAAACAGAAAAAGCAGTCTCCAATAACGAGATTAGGTCACTGACCTTCGACCTATCAAGACCCAGGACGACGACCCTTTCACGGCGCATAGGCAAAATGTCCGGAGCACTTTTTCGTGCAGTAGCAGAACCGACAATCATTCATCGAAAACATTCGAAGGGACGAATCCCAGTAAACCACGCATTCCAATCAGCAGACGACAACAGGACCACTTTGCTACAGTTTCCTCAGTCCCCGCCGGCATCACCAATTACAGGAGACGTGGATACTGAATCCAGCAAGAACAGTTATACGAATAGCAACAGCAACCCAAGTATGTCTCCCGAGATCTCGACCGCTCAGAGCTCCTTAGATTCCAGATTCTATTCATCACCCCCCGGCAATTCTTGCCTTAAAAGTGTTAGTACAAGGGCTTCTGAGAAGAAGCATCTACAACGTCATCAGCACCCTGTCCTGAATTGTGCGCATGCCAACCGCCGCGGCGTCAATACACTCTCTAGTCCTGAAAGCAATCTCACTACGATTCAAGAGACTGCTCTAGATCAAGCGTCTCCTAGCGTACTGACTGTCGAGCGGGCAGCCGCGGCCAAGATTTACCTTGAAACTTACTTCGATGAGCTGCTGAATCCCGGGCCCAGCCCGCGGTCTATCCGTCTTCATTTGCTTGAGACACATCTGATCAACTGCGGTGCGTTGGATGGTAAAGTGAGCCCTTCGGAGATAAAAGCTGTGCGTGCGGATTTTTTCCGTCGAGAAAGCGAGCATCTACGCAAGACTCGCGTACTGAAAGCCCGCAGTACCCTCGCACTCGCAGCGCAACGGGGTGCCCCTGAAGCCAGCCTTGAACAGGATTGGGATGTTTTGAAGATTCTGGGTAAAGGCAGCTTTGGGGTGGTACGACTCGTTCGGGAAAAATCCCAATATCGTGATGAAGGTCCCAATGGCCGCTCTGAAAGTTGGTCCGAAGCTAGCAGTAAGCAGGTATACGCCATGAAGGTTATACGAAAGTCAGACATGCTTCGGACTAGCCAAGAGGGTCATCTGAAAGCCGAAAGGGACTTTCTTGTTGCATCTGAAGGCTCAAAATGGTTTGTGCTTCAAGTAGCATCCTGAAATTTCAGCCGATACTGACTAGGCCGTAGGATTGTACCACTCATCGCAAGCTTCCAGGACGCTGCCAATCTCTATCTTGTCATGGAGTATATGCCGGGTGGTGATTTTCTCGGACTTTTGATTCGGGAGAACATCCTACACGAGTCTGTAGCACGATTCTACGTTGCCGAAATGATACTATGTGTCGAGGCGGCACATGCGCTCAAGATCATTCATCGAGATATCAAGCCGGACAATTTTCTCATCTCTGCCTCAGGTCATCTGAAGATCAGTGACTTCGGGCTGGCATTCGACGGTCACTGGTCGCATGACGCCTCATACTTCAACTGTCACCGATATAGCTTGCTCAACAAGTTGGGCATCCACATCGAGGGTGATGACCAAGACAAGGCCGAAGGTCGCAGTCTGCAGGCCACAATGAAATGGGCAAGCGGTATTATGACGGGGATCGACAAGCACGAGAAAAAAATTACAGATGATGGAGAGCCCCTTCTAAGCTGGCGTAATCGATGCGGCAACCGCACTTCTGCTATGAGTGTTGTCGGCACTAGCCAGTATATGGCGCCAGAAGTCATTGAAGGGAAGAAGTACGATGCTCGGTGTGATTAGTGGAGTATCGGCATTATTCTTTTCGAATGTCTCTACGGTCGTACGCCGTTTATTTCCGATGCCGGTAGACATATGACGAAGCAGAACATTCTCGTAAGTTATTTGGAACCCCCCATATCCTCCGTACAGGTACCCAGCGTGGCAAAGTTGCAATCACTGACTGCATTTCACCTTAAAAGAGATACAAGGAGACATTCCATTTTCCACGTCAACCTGCTGTCTCTGCTAGATGTCAGCAATTGATCACGTCGCTTATAGACAACAGAGAGAACAGGCTCTGCTCTAAACGCTATCGCTTCAAAGATCTCATCAACATGTCTATGACCGCCCAATCAGCCAATCTAGGAACCACAGGAGGACCCAGTATAGGGACGAGTTCTTATGGCCATCACCGGAAGCAGCAGCCCGAGTCGGCAGCTCCACGAGACTTCGCCGGCCGTTATGTATTTCCTTACGATGCTGAAGACATCAAGGCGCACAGGTGGTTCAGGGGAGTTCCTTGGGAAAGGCTGCATGAGATTGATCCCCCATACATACCGCATCTACGAGGCCCTGATGATACTCATTATTTCGACGACGAGGATCCTATCAGCGATTGGAGCAACAGCAGCGAGGAATCAGAGCCTGAGGATCCCTCACCGACAAATCTTAGCTCTCCGGTCATTTCAGACCCATACGGAAGCTCAAGTCCCATCAGTCCAACAACACCCTCTATGCTTGGATCTCTCAAGGACCTTAGTATAGGCAGCCGTCCCCCCAACCCCAAACATAAAACGACTTCTGTGGCTAAGCAAGCTCTTCAAGGCTTCAGACGTGATGTTGAGAAGTGGGCTCTCACGGCCATTGCAACCCCGTATGACAGAAATCGCCTACACAATCTTGACTCGCAAATTGATGAAAGGTTTGCCGATCTGGCTTCGGAAGATCGGGAGATGTTGAAACAGTATGTGCGGGTCTATGGAAAGAAAGATCGAAAGAGGCCCAGGGACAAGCTGTTGAGGGACAAGAACACCAAGGCAGTGGTCATGGATGTGAGGAAGAGGACCGCCTTTATGGGCTACACTTGGCGACGGATGAACCACGACGGTAACGGGGCCGTGAGAAAGGGCTTGGAACGGATTTGGCCCAACGTTGGTTCCTTTGCGAGCGATGGGAATCCCAGGGGCGAAGATGGCACATTCGATGCTGACGGTGTTGCATTTGGCGGTAGCGGTGGTTATACCGAAAGTGTCCATGTGAATCATGTTGGCTATGAGTGGGAAGAGGATCGCGCCGCTGCTGTGAAAGCTTTGCGCAAAGGAAGACTGAGCTGGCTCTAGCTTGGATGACGATTTGTTCAGAAGACTGAGTGATCAGCCGGGGGAGAGTGGGAGATGTAGAGTTGGTGAACGCGAGTATCAGACGCCATGGTAGGTTTTGCTTTTTTAGTAACACTGCGTAACTGAATATCCAATAGAAGTGCGAAGTCAGAGAAATAGAAATACAGAGTATTAGCATTAGTAGTTATTCTAACTTGCTTGCTGGGGAGCCGCTTGCTTTCTGCTCCCCTAGTGATTGACGTTCAATGAAGATGCTCGAACTCATCCATTGGGAGTTGTTGGTAGCCAGCATTGCCGCACCGGCTCAGAAACCGTCACCATTGCTTGCCGGCATCAATATCTTCCCCAGTGCCAGCCTGCTGTACGACAGGCGTCTTGCCCTCCGCCAGCGCCTTGGCCGTCAAAATCTCGAACTCATACTCCTTCAGCGCCCGCAACTCGCTCCTGAAAAACAAAAGCGACATCAGACCGTCTAGCGTACCGCCCACCAAGCCCAGCGTGCTGACGAGCATGAGGATGAAGGCAACAAAGTTGCGTGGGACGAACCATACCGCGATGAGACACCCGATCGAAACTCCCAGCCATGAAAAGAAGTGGTACGCTCGCCACTTGAGCTGCGACTGCTCGCGGGCTACGTACTTGTGGATTAGACTGAGAATTTGGTCGTAGCCGCTGGGCGGTAGGCGAGGTGGTGGGGAGTTGAAGGCAAGGAGCTGTTTTGTGTAGGTGGGGTTGTCGTCGGTGTCGGTGTCGGCATCGGCCTCGGCGATACTGGTACCTTGAGATGATGGTTCCTGGAGGCAGGTGCCCGTTTGAATGAGATGGTTGTCGGCGTCATTAAGGAGGGTGGTGGTTGGTTTGATGGTTTGATGACTGTTGCTAAAAGGGCTGTTGTTGTTGTTTTCATCACGCTGCTGTTTTAAAGGAACAAACTTGAGCGTCGCCTCAACAGCAAAGTGATCACTCAACGAACACCCCAGCTCTGGATGCCGCATCATCATCCCAACCGCCGCACGCTTGACCACCCATCCCCCGCCATTAGCCGCCACGTCCCCAGCCCCAGCAAAGATGTAATCTAGCCGTTTTCCGCGCAGGTCCGGCGTGCTCGGGTCGACAGTCACCACCGGCTTGCCGATACCTAGCCGCTTCTGCTGCTTGGGCAGCCAGCGCCACGTGTTGAACGGCCCGTCGGAGGTGGCGCAGTTCTCGAGGATGTTGAACTCGGCTGTGGGGACGGCCCGCCCCCGAGCCTTTTCAGCATGGTGGTAGGCTGGGCCGACGGAACTGTCAGGATGGAGAACGCGCCAGACGTCCTGCACAGGCGCATGAGAGGTGACGATTTGGTGCTCGAGGGACAGGGGAAGCATGTTAAAATCGCCCAGGCCGAGGACGAGGTGGCCCCGCTCGGCGGCGCCGCGGAGGAGTTTGGAGATCTCCCAGGACTGAGAGGTGCGGTGGCAGATGTATGAGTCTTTGGGGCCGGATTCGTAAGGGGCGTGAGTGTGTGTGTTGAAGACCTCGATAATGTGTTTTGGCCCCGGGCCGTACCGGATCTTTGCACACGCAACGCCCTTTCCAACATACCAGTCGCCGCGCCAAAAAGCTGTGGGTCGTCCGTTTAACGGGTAGCGGAACATGGTGCTCTCCTCAATCGGCCACTTGGACAAGATGGCCAGACCGCCGCCAAAGGCGCCGGCAAAGTAGAACTTGCCATATGGCAGGATGTAGCGGGTTTCGCGCCGGATGGTTAGGTAGTCCTCGTGGCAGAAACACTCCTGAAGCGCAACTATCTGGGGCTGCGGGTCAGCGATGGCGAGCTGGCGGCCGATTTCTGTAAGACGCTCGCGACGAAGCTTGGATATGTATTTCAAGCCCCAGCAGTTGAGCGTCACGATGGAGATTTCGGTGGGCAACTCGGCCATCGTGACTGAGGGTTCGTATGGTTCTTGATGAGCAAAGTCGTCGTCTGATGTGGTTGATGTGTTCTTATCAGTAGAGGAGGTGTCAGATGGCATGTCAAATGAGGAGCCGCAACTTCATCATACGCCCACACGGATGCACCACAAGGAATGAGTGAAAGTCAGCAAAGCTCTTCAATAATGATACAGAGTGTTAGTTAGACTGGACCCGGAAAACAATCAAAGTGCACTCGCCTTCCAAGTTACGGTCACGGCGGCTATCTCTCGATCCTCGAACACGCCCAACTAAACCCTTCTAGGTTTGGCGTACATATTGCCGAGTTGGTGTGGAGGCTCTCCACAATCTTTGAGAGATCAAGACCGGCCCGGGAACTTCAACGACGGCTCCAGCCGACGGATTGACCAATTATGTACACAGATGACCTTATTAGTGTACCTGTGATACGGACTCATGCGTAAAAGAACATCCAGACTTTGGTGGATCTCAGAGCAGAGGACATGAAAGAAACAGAAACTTCGAACTTGCAATCTGGGCAAAGAAACATGCTCCTCTCATCAAGTTGTACCTAGCAAATTTAATAACTTTTCATTCATGGTTATGAATGGTAACAAAGGCCCCGCCGTTGGCTTTGGTTTGCATATGGACTCTGATAACAAGTGAACTTGTGGCCCGCCCCACGCCCCTACACCTCCAAAACAGTCGGGTAAGGTACCTTGGCGTGCGCGCGCATCCACTTCCACTTTCAGCTTTCTTCCACTCTCCGACTGATGCCAACAGAACCCGACAAACGAATCTATAACCACATATTCTATCTTTTACTATTACCTTGGCGTTCCCACGAGCTCAGACTTCCATCATCTATCAATAGCTAGGTCCGCGTCCTTCGCCCTTAGACAGCACGGCATCTTTCCAAGCAAAGCTTCCCCACGACATGCCCAAAGCCCGGGCTTCCCCCGCAGGCACAGCTGCTGAGCCGCCTCACCCCAAACGCCGTAGACTTCCAGACGACGACGCCAATTCGATGCCGCGATATAGTTCACCCGCCGAAGACATGAACCGCGACGAAGACACAACAGAATACCAAGGTCGATCTCGTGCCCACAGGCCGTTGGCGCACCGCGACCGTCTCCCTACAAGCCCAAACCGGACCAGGGATGCAAGCGCAAGTCGAAGCAGAAGCAGAAGTGGGAGGAGTAGAACCAGAAGCACCAGTCCCCGTTCTGACGAAGACGAACAACAACGGCGATACCGCTCCAGGTCATCAACTAGCTCTCGCGAATCGCGGTCCAGAACCTCATCGCGCTCGAGGAGCCGCTCGTACTCGCGCTCTATAACCCGATCCCGATCTCCTCGCTCTCGATCGCGCACGCGGTCACGGTCCCGATCAAGCTCGATACGCGACCGCTCTCGTTCCGAATCGCCTTCTCGCTTCCAAGGCCGCCGTCCCTCCAAGTCACATGCCGAACAGCTTCGACCAAATTATCGACCCCGCTTAGAGCTGAGCGGCCATACTGCTGCCATCAGCCAGGTTCGAATATCCCCAGACGGAAAATGGATCGCCTCCGCCTCCGCCGACGGTAGCGTCAAGATCTGGGACGCCACCACGGGCAACAACCTCGATACCCTCATAGGTCACATGGCCGGAGTCTCATGCCTGGCATGGGCACCGGACAGCAACACTTTGGCTACCGGTTCAGATGACAAGGCCATCCGCCTCTGGGACCGGGTGACCGCCAGTCCCGCCCACGCTTGTGGGGATGAAAGCAACCGTGGCCAAGGACCACGAGAGTACATTAGAGGCGGCAGCCAGCTTGCTAGGACAGCACGCGGAGGTAGAACAGGAATGGGCCCGCTACTGGGACATCACAACTATGTTTACTGCCTCGCCTTTTCGCCAAAAGGGAATATTCTGGCCAGCGGGAGTTATGACGAGGCCGTATTTCTGTGGGATGTGCGAGCTGGTCGGTTGATGCGAAGCTTGCCCGCTCACAGTGACCCAGTGAGCGGCATCGGCTTTTGCTGTGATGGGACACTGGTTGTCAGTTGCTCTACGGATGGACTCATGTATGCTTTCCCCTACCCGAAACAAAAAACAAAAAAAAAAACAGGCTTCATGGTGTATGGTTACTAATTTTTCTGTGTTCACAGTCGCATATGGGATACCTCCACCGGCCAATGTCTCCGAACGCTCGTCCACGAGGACAATCCCGCCGTCACCAATGTTTGTTTCAGCCCGAACGGCCGCTTCGTACTCGCCTTCAACCTCGATAACAGCATTCGTCTTTGGGACTATGTATCCGGAACTGTCAAGAAGACATACCAAGGCCACAAAAACAGCGGCTTTTCGATAGGCGGAGGTTTTGGCGTGGTGATCGACAACAAGGATACACAGGATGACTACCGGCATGGTAATATGGGCAAGCCATTTGTCGTGTCAGCCAGTGAAGACGGAGATATTGTAATGTGGGATGTGGTGACCAAGCAAATCGTACAGCGTATCGAGAAGGCCCACGAGGGGGTCTGTTTCTGGGTGGATGTCAACGGCGACACCATGGTGAGTTCTGGGCAGGATTGCACCATCAAGGTTTACAAGAATGTGCGGAGGAAAAAGCATGACCGCCGATTAAAATTTGACAAGCCGAACGGCATCAGCGCGATCGATGGGACAAATGGTCATGGCAATGGCAGAGGAATTGAGATCAACGAGGCCATGGGTGACGATGACCTATAGCATCGCGCACAGGTTGACTGATACCTGACCACTGTTTCAAGGAAAGTAAGAGCACACTCAAAACCAGATACCCCATTTACCTAGCTTTATTCCATGATTCGAACGCTGCTAAGGGTTGAATGCAGGGATAGATATGTCTTTGAAACTTTTTTACGTTGTTTTGGTGACTATCTTGATTCGTATCTTTACCTGCCTGTCTATGAACAGAGGACACGCCTACTCGAAGCAGGTGCGGATTGTCATGTGATGCTCAGAGACAGCAAGTCCAAATGGCAGGTCCCGACAAACCGTCGTAGGAACACCCCATACCCGAGGAGATAGGCATACGTACAGACAGTGATCAACCACCATTGTTGCCTCTACCTGCTAACCGCTCAGTGTCCGGAGGCATGGCGCCATGTCTGTCGCGTCATCTATGGCCTCAGATGAGAGTGGGCGGAGAGTGGGCGAATTGAGTCTGCTGTAGCAGGAATAAACCCGCAAGAGTCTCGACACAAGCAGCCCTCAGATGCTGGCTTTCTCAGACTCAATGACATCCACATCCATCTCCTCCTGCACCTCCAACACCAACGACAGGCTGTCCATGAAGGAATTCACGGCAACGCGGAGCATGCGGTTTGTGGTCGCCTTGTAGTCGACTTGCAGGACCGTCTCCCCAGCGTCTTCGCTGCCAGGAGACGCAACGGTCGAGAGTTCCCGCTTCACGAGGCCGGAGAGCTCCTTGTCCACTCTCAAAGCCTGGAGGGCAACAGAAGCTAACCGAGCATCAGGGAAGGGCACTCGAAGTGTTCTTGTCGGTTGCTGTGTTAGTGTCGATTATCTTGAAAGGTATGCAGAGTTTGAGTGAAGCAAGGATGTGACGATAATGTTATGAGACGAATGGTACAAACTGAAAAATTGAAATAAAATAAAAATAAAAATAAAATGTGAATAGAAAATTAGATAAACGCTCAAAACAGATCAAGCAAGGAATGAGATAACAATCTAAAACCAATGACCTACAGCGAGCAGGGGAAGTTATCGTCGGTTGCCATGGTTGCGGTCTTTAATAACCCCGTAGTAAACACTTGCAAAAAATATGTTGTCGCGAACCAAAGGGTTTCAAACTGGCACTCGTTTAACGGTTGTCAGGGGAGTTTGTGTGGTAAGCGCTACCCGATGACGAATGTCGAATTCCAACCGCCGCGAGTGTGCCTGGGCTGTGATGACCGATAACAGGCCCTTGTAGGGAACTCTGTAGGAACCTCAAACTGTATCTCACACTGGCAATTCCGCAGTGATGTTACTATCGTCCACAGTTATCGCAAGGTCGTAGGCGGCAGGCTGGCTGAGTGAACAGGGAGCGAATTTCGATATTCGGTTGTTGCCGTGTGCTGGGCGCAAAGGCATCATGGCGGCTTTACAGAAAAAGGACAAGCTCCGGCAACACCTCCCTCTCTACCTCAGCTGGAAAGTGGAGCTCTGGGGGGGATCTCCCGTCAGAGCGAAGTGATTGGATGTTACTGGTCCAGGCGCGACTGCGGATGCCAAGAGAGAAGGTTGTCAGGACAACGGCGGGTGAGATGGAGCTTTAAACGCGCTTATTGGGCGGTGAATTGTTTTGGAAGATACCAAGCCCCCCGAATTCTTCGCTGGCCCACGCTAAACCCCGGGCGCAGGCAGAGCGGTCGGGCAAGATCAGTTGCGACTTCGAGGCGGTCTCTGCATGGAAGGTGAGGTGAAGGTCTCGCTATTCTCCAGTTCGCCAGGGTCCCTGCCAATGACAATACACACACGACATACAACCTTGCCAGCAAAAACACCGCTCTTGGTAAGTACCGGTAAAGGCCGTACCTGCTACAAAACCTGTTCTCCGCAACCAGCTCATACCCACCGGTCTTTTCTGACCTCCTCTCGCACATCATCATCGAGTTGCCCACTCCTTTGTTTCTTCAATTCTCCTGCCTCCGGTGCCTTCGTTCTTTACAAGAATTGCATTCTCGCAGCCGGTGTCCTCTTGTCCTTCTTTGGAGGCTTTAGCTCTTGCTTTTGGCCCTTTCATCCCACCCCGCACCTGCAGTGCAGTACACAGTCCCTTGCCTCGCGGTATACCTACCTAGCCCAGCTTGGCTGCTTGGTTTTCCCTTGTTGGCACACAATCGCTCGCAAACGATCTGCGATCTCGACCTCACCTTCTTCCCGTCAATCAATCCGACCATAATTTTGGCCGACCTAAAGTGCAGCCCTCAAACGACAAAACATCGAATTGGAGTTTAACATCCTTCGCTCCCGCCGCCCTATAGCTCACTGCATTGCACAGCATCACTAAGTATCCCCGTACATGCCCGCGCCTGCGCATTGTCGCAACGCCAATCGCTCTCTCGACATAAACAGTCGACTTTGAGCCTCCCAGGCCACGACGCCATGGCTCCTTCCTCCAGACACTCCAGCAATCTGGGGCAAATCATCGAGTACATTCCCGGTACGTGTAAATTATTTGTGCGCCGCTCCGGTCCTCTTAGTCGAAGTTACACTTTTTTGTCTTGCTTCTGGCTCCGTTGTCCGAAAACTCCATGTTTATGATCCACCCGCATCCCATGTTCACCGCTCCGCAACGGAGCTGCCCGTCCCAATATGTGCACCTTTGAATATCCTCTACAATATCAGCAATTGCCTTACAGTATACTAACCTTTACAGACCGATTGTACCTCGCATCTTACTCTGAACCTCCTACCGAGCATACCTTGTTTCCCTACCCAGATCCTGAACCACGGTCCCCGCGCAAGCGCTCTCAACGAACAATCGACCAGGTCGCGGAGCGTAAGAAGCCATACTACTTCACTGTCGACGATACTCTTCTATATAATGCCTTCCACCACGATTTTGGCCCGTTCCACATCGGCCACCTTTACCGCTTCGCCCTGCAGTTCCACGAAATTCTTGGGGCCAAGGAAAACAAAGACAGGCCGGTAGTGTTCTGGAGCAGGGCCGACCCACGCAGTAGGTCACCTAAGTCCGCCTCCTCGAGATTAGCAATGATCGCTGACCAATGTTACCTCAGGTCGTGCCAATGCCTCTTGTCTACTAGCTTGCTACATGGTTTTGATCCAATCGTGGCCTCCGCATCTGGCTCTGGCGCCGGTCGCCCAGGTCGACCCCCCTCTAATGCCGTTCAGAGACGCCGGCTACAGCCAGGCCGACTACGGCATCACGGTTCAGGACGTTGTGTACGGCGTTTGGAAGGCCAAGGAGGAAGGCTGCTGCGTGTTGGAGACATTCGACCTTGACGAGTACGAAAAGTTTGAGAGAGTTGAGCACGGCGACTTCAACTGGATTACACCCAACTTCCTGGCATTTGCCTCTCCTCAGCATACCCCGGTTGCTCCCACCCCCGAGGGGACCGAGCAGTGGTCACTTCTGCCAAAGACCCTAGCCGCCGTCGACGCACATCCTACGCTGCCGCAGCCCTTCAAAAATGTTCTCAGGCATTTCTCGGAGCGAGACATCGGCCTTGTCGTCAGGCTGAACTCGCAGCTCTACAATCCCTCGTACTTCGAAGCCCTAGGAATCAACCACATCGACATGATCTTTGAGGACGGAACATGTCCTACCCTTTCGACCGTACGGAAATTCATCCGCATGGCCCATGAAACCATCTCTAGGAAGAAGGGCATTGCTGTTCATTGCAAAGCTGGTCTCGGCCGAACAGGCTGCCTCATCGGCGCCTACCTGATCTACCGACATGGATTTACAGCAAACGAGGTCATTGCCTACATGCGCTTCATGCGCCCAGGCATGGTCGTAGGGCCTCAGCAGCATTGGTTACATCTGAACCAGGGCATCTTCCGGGAGTGGTGGATCGAGGAGCGGGTTGAGCGGAGGCTGCGCAAAGAAATCGCAGCCGCCGCCGCCGCCGCCGCTCAGGCTAACGGGACAGCGCATCCCAGCACCCCTATCCGTGCCGTGTCGAAGACGAGTCTTGGTCGTAGCTCTAGCAAAAATGGCGTGTCCACACCCTCTAACAGAGGATCAGTTCGGACACCGCTAGGCGAGATCGATCGGGACTCGGCGCGTGACAATCATATCGGCGTACAAGAGGATTACCTCCCCGCACCTACGCCAGGACAGCCAAGGAAGACGCAGCGGGGCGCAGTAGATCGCCAGAAAGGATATGGCCGGGGACCTATTCAGACCACTGTGGAGGAAGAACCCGTTCCCATGACAGAAGTGACAACCGAGGTGATTACAGTTCACAAGAGCTCCAGAGGGCCGAGTTCAGAGGAGGAATGGAATCTTCGAAGATCTCGGCGAAGACAGTCTGCCGCTCCAACTTCACCAGGACAACCCCCCGAACGGTCTGTCACCCACCAAACCGCTACCACGAAAACGACTGTTTATCAAGTCATGGATAATGATGCATCGAACGATATCGAGAACATTGGTACTGCCGCAGCACGAATCAAGGCCCACGACCACGCTCCACGCACTAGTTCCGCGTCTGGAGTTTTGACCAAGATACGAGGCAACACTAGTGCGAAACGCCATCCACCTGGGAGCGTCAGAGAAGCTGGTGTTCGAAAGACGAGTGGACGAGTTGGGAGTATAGGGAACTCGACAACCAGTCCGGCCGCTGTATCGGCAATGCGTAAAATAAGTGGGATGTGACCCCATTCTCATGAGTCAAGAGACTATACTTCACTTGATGAGTTACAAACGAAAGCTCCGATTCACTGGCTTCATGATTCATTTGAGATACAAAAAGAAAAGGTGCGTTCAAGAGCATAGGGTTATGCTTTTGGGAGTCTTGGGTTTCTCAGTGGCAGCAAGCAAACTTGGAGCATTCAGCGAGCGAGATGCAGCATACTGTTTTCACCATCACGTTTGCATGATCAGCACTTCATTTTTTTCACGCATGACGGCCTCTCTGGCATAGAGGTTTTGTCTTTGGAGGCGTTTTCTTCTGGTTTGCAAGGTCATACTTGGGTTGTGAAGGATACTACGATATATATCGCATGGGTATGAGCATGGAAATGAGGGCGAGGAGACAAAGGTGATTTCCTTTTTTTTTTCTAAGCCGGGTCGTATCCTGGCATGACTTCTCTGGTGCACTTGGGATTTGGACTACTTTTTCGATTCGTCGTCGATGGATGATGAAGTTTCTGTGTTCGAGTACTGCTGTACGGAGTCATGGATAAGATCAGATCGGTTAGACGCCTGGCACTCGAACAATATCACGGCTTTTCAGTTGCAATTCTGGCTTCCAGTGAAATCCGAGCCTGATGATACTTAGGTTGATGTTCACTCCCAGCCATCATTGCAGTGCAGCACCATGGTCCCGACTAAGTACTCTTCCCCCTCTCCTTACTGTGCAGAATAGCCGAGAAGCCCCATGCCGCCTCCGGAGATGTCGTCCTCAGCTGGAGATCCTTATCCAGGGTCGGAAGTCTGCGGCGAGTGACCTTCTGACCCGTGCAGTCAGGTGAGTGTACTGCATACAATATTGAGTCCAGTTCTCCACGCGCGGTCTACGGTAGCTGTCTCACGAAGGACAACTGAAGAAGGCGATGGTGATAAATGGGGTAGCGATTTTTCGGTTGCATGCCCGCAGCGTACCTCCACAATACATGTTAGCTCTACTTATGGTTGCCGGACGGTCAGGGTAAGGATAGGTAAGTACTATTGACATCATCATCTCAGCAACCCCAAATCCCCCAGGCACTGCAGCATCAAGCGACGGAATACTGAATTGGTAGGAGCTTTTCCATGACATCCATGAGTGCACACCTGCACCGGAGAATCAACAGCTAAGCCCAGCTCCTTTCGAGTCGGAGCCGAGGAGTGCATCGCGGCTCCCTTTGCCTCCTCCCACCCCAGACTACTGCACGCCAATCCCGCTAACCCAGGGCTGCAAGTCTGTATGGGTAGTAGGACTGAGACCTTGTAATCTTCAGTTTCTCTCAGAAACTGTTGTGAGCTATCAACGGTGGAGCAAACGGTTTATTCCCTGCAACGATCGTTACTTCCTAACCGTCGAGCAACCACTCGACAACTGTGAGTCCAGTTCCCACATGGTATTATCCCAGCTAGTATTAGAGTTCGTTAGGGAAGGAACGAAGGAGCAAAGATCCAGAAAACCTGAAGCAGATGTACATCTGTTAGTGAGACTCGACCTTAATTATGTAAAATTTCATCGCTCTACTACCCCTTCTAACAGATATCCCTCCGGTGCAGTGTACTTACATTGCGTGCACTCATGGTCATCGGAATGATGAAGAAGTTCCTGCCACTTTGGTATTCGGGCAAGTTCCCTCTTCTGAGTTGTCACGCTAAGAAGGACGGCGGATGACAGAGATACCGTGACCATAATGCAAGTGACATGAATCTGCGGATTCAGTTGATACATGAGGTTGCCTCTCAAAAGATTTTCTCCTGTCTTGCAAGCCTCCGACGGAGCTCGAGTGCTTGGCGATTCCGTCTCCCCCGTGAACTACGAGCTGTAACTACTAGCTCTGTTTGCCTGTATGGCTTTTCTTATGCGTGCATCTATGGTTTTTACTTTTTCTTTTTTTAAGCAAAAGAGGTAAGGCGCATTCTGCTAAAGAGCGAGAAGCATGCTACCGACCTGCGTGGCGTGTAATAGTAGTCTGTATAAGAACGAAGTATGTGTGTAGCGCGGACAACTGGGAAAGAGATTGAGTGATAACCTCTGCCTCAAGTTGCAGCATGTAGTCATCCACACAAGCATCATGTCCATGAAGCGGGCTTCATGTTGAGCGTCAGGGACCGGATCTATCTAATTTGCCACGACGTGCGTAGTAGTATTTCTACGTAAAGGTGTTTCCATGTTTGAGAGTCGCGGCATACATCGGCCCTCAGTACTCGATCCTAGAGGGCGAAAAAAGAAATAGACCTGTCCCTCTTTATTAACTGAAAGACAGACACTTGATTCACTCAACATAAAACGCATCGAGCCTCGCCATCCGCCCGCCGCAGCTGGTCTTCAGCGGGAGCTTTCTTCATCAAAGACAGGATACAGCTATGTACGCGGGAATCGACGAAGACTGCACTGTACGTAACTTGACCAAGACTGGAGACAAAAAAATAAACGGGGCAGTTTCCCACGTATGTAACCCTCGTGAGCCATGTGTGAACCGTCAACGTGTCAGAAAATCCGGCCACCGGAGAGCCGAATACTTGCATCAATGGTTAATGCACCTGAGTTGCGTTCGCCTGGAGTTCCTTGCCTAGCCGAGGTATTATTCGTTCTGCATGTAGCTGCTGTTCTCCAGATTACCCTAACCAAGTGCTGCGACATACAATGGACCACTGCAATAAGAAGCTCAGAAAATGTTGAAGTCCTTACTGTGATAATTACTACTACTATACTGCGATAGGCCCTGTGGTCTTTTGCTACTAGACTCATAAATGTACGCAGCAGGAGTACAGCTGCTGACTACCTAGGTAGGGAGGTATACACAGTAAGGGAGGCTTCCTCCTACTGTAATATCGCGGATCCGAACTGGACCGCAGAGTCTGCCAGTGGTCATAGGTCAGAGGTCGTCTCAAGTCCAGGCTGGCGGGCAATGACCCGGGAGTGCATACCCATTAGAGTACCTCTAGCCTAGGTAATTGTCATAACCACTTACAAGAATCACTTGATCATTATTTGTTACCTAACTATCAGCGCCTAGCAAAGGACGGTGTTAGAAAACATTTTATCAGGTACTCATATAGTGCATCTAATCTAATATCGATATAATGATGTCCGCGCGCATCAAAGAAGGGCTCAATGCACTCAGTGTTTAACAAGCAATGGAAGTACTAAAGTCTGTACAATGACACTCTCTACCTCACATCCAGCCATCAGACCACTTGCTTTGCTTCTTCTTGATACTACATTCTATCCTATGCCGTACAAAGCCTCTGGCAATCTTAAGCGCTTAGAATGATAGGGAAAACGTATATTTGTGTAACTATCCTTCGAAGTCGAGCTACTTGTTTGTACCTGGAGGCAAAAGAACATTAGGTTCATAAGAAATCGAACTTGCAGGAAGAATAGACTAGCATCTTTACTTCTTCCCTCCACCATCAAGCCACTTTTAGTCTCGCTGCGACAACCAGGCAATTGCACACAAAGTCATTAAGTTTGGGAGGATTCAAAGACGTACTCATTTCCCCAGACGATTGGCCTTGCAGTGCACTAGCAACTTTAGCCATGGCCCGGGGATCCATCTGTGTTGAAACATGAACTCGACACCGGCAAACAACTGAATGACTATCTCGTTGGTCCCCGACGTTACCTCATTTCCGTATAACACCGTCCAGCGTAAGAGAGATATATGAAGTGTGTAAAATGTGCGTGTCGAAACACTGTAGGATTAGCACGCCGTGGATTGCCGGACACTAAGAGAACTGTTACCCGTTCCTACTCACGCATCATCCTGGCGCTATCAAAACCGAACTTGCCTCTATGCATGCATGCTCATTGCGCTGCACTGTGTAGATGCCCTTCTGCGTGTCACTAACCCTGGAGCCCAATCCCCTGGTCATCGATCATTCTCGGTACCTCTACCGTTGCGGGTGATCGTCCCGTCCATGCCCTATCAAAGTGCTGCGTCTGATCTCGGCTTGAGATCGGATCTCTTTTGTAGTATAAATTCTAAGACACGAACTACAAAATAGCGTTATTGCCGCCAAGCGGATATCGAGCGTGGCACCATCAAATACGTTCGTGGTCGTAGTGAAGATCTGAGATGGGAAACCACGATTGCTCAACTGTTGTATTCTCTAACCATGCATATGAGCTGTATAGCAGTGGCACCTGTAATGATACCCGAACCTGCTCGTCCGAGACACCCTTTTGGCGTTCAACACTCCAAGGAATAAAGCTCGCCCAATACTATGCCGAAGGTAGCTCTAGTATCTGTAAGAGATTTGCCAAAGGCACTAGCTAAGAAGAATGAAGAATGAGGGGATCCCATTGGCCTGATTTCTCACGTACAGCTAATCCCGCCGTGCATATGTATGCTTCTTTCGCACCGAAACTGCCAGGTTCAGTGGGAAAAAGCGGTATGCTAAGGCTAGTAACACAGATCATTGCCAAGATTCCCTAATCCACAACAAAAAGAGGTACTGTAGTGTGAACAATGGTTCGTGCCTAAGAAAACCCATGGCCGATACTTGTCAGGTCCTAAAACCGACCCTCGGACTAGTGCTATGCTCCGCGCCCGTAGACCGATAAGCTTTTTTTTGTTATTTTGTTTCTTTGCAGAAATGATGAAGGAAACGCGTCCACTTGATACCGTGGAATCGTATACGCTCTCGTCAAGATCACCGTGACTCAGTTGGGCTGGCTTCGGAGGGGGAAATAGTACGCTGGCATGGGCTCCAGATGCCAGCGCTTGATGCCCTTGTTCTTGAAAGCCTCGTCCCACTCTTGAGTTAGTTCCTGAGGAATAGGCCAACCATGCTCGGTGCTTCGAAGGCGCATGCGAACCAGATGGCGCTGAGTAGATGCATCCTCTCCGTTCACGAAGCCCTCCCGACGGTGCAGAACAGCCAGATTGTTGATGAAGTGTATGTCTCCAGCCTGGGTTTGGATCTCCATCTGAGACGCCTTCGCGATGGCCTCAATTGCATCCAAAGCCTCCACTTGACGAGCAGTCAAGGATGGCAGATGCTGAGGACGGGGATGGGCCTGGTTCCCAAGAAGAGCCGCTCGGCCAAAGTTCATGATGAGCTTCGAATCTTCGTAAAATATCACCGGACGGCATTGAAAGCGGGGCCTGAGTAGGGAATGTTAGATGGAGTCTTGATAACATGAGATAAGTTTGTGTGACGGTAATCACTTACATGGAGAAGGGCCAGTCGCTGCGCGCCAAAGTCCGAATGATGTCGGGTCGAGTGGCAGCCAAGACATTGTAGATGGTGTACGCAGAAGCAATGATACACTTGCCCCCAGTTGCAGCTGTGCTCCTCGTCAACCAGCTGACAATATCGCCAGCCTCCTCATTGTGGAAAGTCTGCAACAAAGGGTTAGTCAAATTTACAATGGCCTGCCACTATTGCGTTGTCCACTCACGATGGACTTGTTTGAGTGGCGATGATGCTCAGCAGCCTGTTTGGTGCTGTCATCCACAACAATGTGCACTATTCGAGATGTCAGCCACAGAGCATGATGAATGCCACCACAACGTTTGACTAACCGAGCATGTTACCGCGCTTGTCTTGTCGACCGCGTTGCTCCGCGATGTACGATTGGAGGCCCATGTAGGCCAATGTCAGGTCCTCAACAGAGAAAGCTGCGCGATCAAGGCCCCGAATTACGCTAAAACCCTTGCCGAAATGGACATCCTGTCCAAGTGCTCTGAGCTTCAAACCGAGCGTGGGAAGCTGGAAGGTATTCGGCTCGACGAGATAACCATCCTGGTCAAGAGCTGTACGCGGTCAGTGTGATGACCAAGGAACCTAATGGGGAGCAACCTACATTTGTATTCGGCAATAGCCTGCTTGACTTCGGCCAAGTCAGTGCCGGTCAAACACAAGATGTACTTGGATTCATCGGCAAAGTCAGACCCAGTCCAAGCCAACTTGGATCTCAGTTCAGACGGAAAGCCGCTAGGAAGAGCCGGGGCCTCGGCATTGGTTGCGGCGGCAAAGGGGAAATCGTTGTTGCCAACGATTGGAGCAATAGCCGCGGCGAGAACGGGCCCAGAATTGACTGAAGACATCGTGCAGGTAGTCGTCTGATAGGTGGGGTGCTTCGTGTATAGCTGCGCGGTAAATGTTAGCTTCAGGGGTGCCCTTGCAAACATTCCCAAAGAATGCCACTCACCTCAGCGAGCCAATGTCTATTTCAATAAGGCAGGAGGAAGACTTGCGACTCACGGTTCCCAAGGCAGGAATATGGCACACACTTGGTGGTCTGGTGGACGCTGGGTTGTTGAATGTATGAACTGAAGCAAGGACTCGGATTGTCGAGACCTTGGAAAGCTGGAAAGTCACTTTTAAGTTGAGGTGAGATCGGCTGGTTGACAAGATCACGAACAAAAGATTGAGGAGATGTCTGGCCTTTTAACTAAAAGCCGGACTGGCTTTGGATATACGTAACACATACCTAGGCAGCTCCTGGTCAAGCTTGAAGTCCTCTTACCAGGTCAATGAAAAGGAAACAAGCCTCGACTCGGTCGACCGCGCTAGCACTTAGGAGCTTGACAGGAGGATTTTCTGAACTCGAATACGGAAAGAGACACGAGTCTCGTCATGGCTTCCGTCGACGATGGTGCAGGTACGGACGGTACCGTTGATCACCGCGATGCTTCTTGCCGACGACATGTTGTGAACCAGAAGGGTAAGTGCAGGCCGGTGAAGCTGTCAAGGTCGAGTTCATGCCACAAGCACAGTATATGAGTTGGTGTCGAAGTCAAATTTGCCGGAATTGGAGACAGCAGTGGATCTCTGAGCTGCCGCTAAGAAACGAAAGAGAAAGAAGTCGCTGACAGGGATGCGGGTAGGCCCTATAAGGTGTACAGTTTCCCCTGCAAGAGGGTCGTGCAAGGTACCTACCTAATGACCATGTTGATGTCAGTGAGCTGGGCATGGGTGGCCGATAGGTTAGGTAACCTGGGGGAAGTAGATAGTACACAACAACATGGAGCCTACCTAGATAGGACAGAAGCCTGAATGTAACTTCTTGTTTAGACATCAAACCCAGAGCCATGGTTGGGGACATTGCGGGACAAGGAAAGCCCTACGGGTTGATGTCGAAAGTGGCGTCCCATCCCTGGTCCGGGGCCACCACAGGACATGGTCGGTGGTGACATGGCACCTTCACGCACACTTGGGCCACCGTAACCTTCCTGGCATCCGCGGTGACGGAAGGGCTAGGCTCAGCTGGAAAGGACATGCAGCGCCAGATAGGAATTGCATGGGTTTGAGGTTAGTTGTAGCTCAGGTGTAGCAAACATTCCCAAAAAGTCGAAAAGAAGAAAAGGAGAGCAATACATGTCGGCATGAGGTGACTAGAGCACTCTAGGCTACATGGTAATGTGTAGCCCGGAACCGGGGACCGTGCAGGAACCGGCCATGGCGGCTCTCTCCCGAGGCGATACACTAGGTATAGGAGTACCCGGTAAAGACGGGGCCGGGCTTCATGTCCCCAACAAAGTAGCGTAAGTGACATGCGAGAACAGGCATTGTAAAGGTGATCATCACATCAAACATTGCTAGGAAGAGTTTGCCGGGGACCGGATGAGAGTTTCCACTTGCCAGCTGTACCTACCTTAGCATACTTAGGAAAGTAGGTAGTCAATGGTGGCGAGCCGGAAGTAGAACCTCACATCACAGGGCCGGCGCAAACCGTGATGGACCTTCGAAAAAGAGCCGAGAACGAACTCGACCAGCAGGCACGATGCACACGACCGCCGAATATCTGCGGTCGTTGCGCTAGCCCGAGCGACAAGCTGAACACACAATTATACGATGCACACTTGCTGCCGTGATTCGCAAGTCCGACTACTCAGAGTTGCCACATCGCCAAACTTGAAGCAAGAGAGACCCAGCTGGGTGCAGATTAACGTTCGGTGAGAAACAAAGACAAGGAAAGAATGAGGACGAAAACTGTGTGTCCCGACAACCAGTGGTCGAACCTGTCGGTTTGACTCGGCGTCAGTCCCGAAGGAGGGACAGAAAATGAAGGGACCATGGAGGGGACTTGATGGCCATTGCCTTCCCGCCATGTTGTGTGACTTGTGTGACCCGAAATACAGCTGAGCGAGACTGAGCCAACTTCAACTAGGGCTGTAATATGTGAGATAGTTGAAAGCAAAGGCTCAACGAAGGTGACAGGTTAAGAATGATACCCCGGACGATGCTGGTGCCTCAGCTTGGGGCTGTCCAGTGGCCAAGTGGAATTGAGGACGACGACTGAAAGACGAAATGAAAGAAATCAAATTGAGGATGATTTGTACCATATCCTCCTGCATCGTACAGAAAGAAAGGATGTGCAAGTGTTGGTGTGTGATCGTTTGTTTGAGATGAGCAGCAACCGGTCCTGGTGTTACTCACGGTGCCTGTCTGGTCAACCTGTGCCAACCGGTGACCAAAATCTGTTTCATGGCTAACAAAAAGAGGACGTCATTGCAGTTCAGAATCTGGATAATCCACGCCAATCTTCGTTGGTCTTCAGCCTCCATGGGTGTGAAAACGGCAGGACCAAGTTGTCCACACTCGCCCTTTCCGAAAACCAGCAAACACACAGTAGGCGAGAGTATGGTGTGAGTGGTTGGCCTAACAACTGACCGAGTGACGACTAGGTTTGAGCAGTTAGTACAGGGTGCGATCACAGATCAACGGGTCACTGCAGGGGCCCGTTGAAGACAGCCGATGACACGAGTTATGCCTCATTGCTCGCATCTCATAGGTTTTCGCAAAGAGTAGTCGGCAATGAACAACGGATGAGAGACGACTCGCTCGGGGGCATGTCCGAACAATCGGTGCCTGATTGATCGTGTCGTTTTGGATTCAGCACCCAATTTTACCCATGAAAGTTGGTGAGATCCATGGCGTAAGAGGCCGGGTTGTTTTTCGTTGAACATATTGAAACTTGTTGGGCTAGCAGCTCACCATGCGCAGCCAGTCTAGGAGCAGCAGGAAAGAGTGAGTGTCCAATGTAGGTGCCCGTCTTGCTACCTAGCCCAATCTGGGCCAATCTTGCGTGGAGCCGTATTGAAGCATACACAGTGGTGACAGCGGTACGGTGCTTTTGCCATGTTAAAGGAATCGGCCGACTGCGTGGCCATGCCGCGGCGGACCGGCTTCTGCTCACACCATCAAGAAACAGGAGACACTTTTCCCCCCCTAGTTCGCTTACCTAGTTCCCGAGGTAGAAAAAAAGGGGTAAGGTAACCGGCGAGATCGTACCAGCTGGTGAGTTGACTTTGTCAGTGAAAGTTGCTCTCTAGCAACTTGAAATAGTGATACTCAGGTTGCTGGGATCATGTTTTCGAGGATTTGAACTGAATTGAGAGCAGCCAGGTCTCAGGATAGTTTGAGAGATGTGGCAGGCGTACAGCAGATAAGACTGCAGACGCAGAATTGCAGCTCACAGGATGGTGTTTAAAGTCCAGCTGAGATATGTCCCTATCTACTTGAAGAGTCGGCTTCATTGGATGGGCAGGATCTCGGGGCAAGATCCGAGTGAGGTGGAATTTGGGGATGGTGTACATGTAGAAATGGTCGCTGGGATTCAGTTGGAGGCCACAAAATGATTCCTTCAATCTTACCTGGCCGGATGCTGGAGCTTGGAGAGACCAGAGGAATGTGCAAACAAGGCATGGGTAGTACCTACCATGATATGTGGTGACGGTAGGTAGGTAGGTAGGTAGGTACCTCTAGGTAGTCGTCAAAGCCTGGATGGCATCGCGCATCAAAAGGCAGGGATGGAAGTTACCTCTAGGATGGAAGGACCCACTGGAGGTCTGAGAAACGACCCGCCCCCGCCCGGCCGCTCCGCCCCGCCCCGCCCCGCCCGCCCCGTGCACCCACACCACCCCAGACCCGCCGCCTTGCTGGGGTAGAGTAAGACATGCGATGAACGTCGCCGCGAGGAGCCGCACTGAAGGTGAGACATGTAGCAAACAACCTCGACAAACATTTGCAACTTACTTACCTAGTCCTGTATCTGGCTTGATGTACGTAGAGGTGCTTTAGCTTGACAGCTTCATCGGGAGAATGCATGAGTGCTTGGTGCTTGCTTGCGCTCACTTGAGACGGTAATCCATCCTTCCTTCTTGATTGAAGCAGATGCCATCTGTTCCGTTCATCCCGGCTCCATTGTTGTTCGATCCGGAGCACATGTAGACAGCTAGCAAACTATTGGTATTGTAGAGCGGCAAAAGAGAAGACACCAGCCTATCATTTGGGTAGAACATTTTCTGTGTAGTTCTGAAAAGTGGTTCTCTTGCCGTTTTGAGCTGTGATGAAGTGACCCCAGCGAGCCGGGGTTACCACCAAGGTGGAACGTTATGGATCATGTTGACGGGGATGTTCACAGCGACAGCCGACGATCCTCGCCGCATTCCCCGTCATCCTACAGCGGGCCCACGGGCCCACCCACCTGGTTCGCCTGATGTCGGGTTGTTCAGCCGACTGACCACCTCTGCCCCCCTTTCCTATATCCAGGCACTTGGTATGTAAACTACTTGACCGGCTTCATGCATTTCTCTTCACTGTAATCGTGGGTGGCAGGCCTCGAATGGCACCCACAAAGTCTGATACATACCTCCAGAAATATATCCGCCGTCATCGCGCAATCATCCGTCTTTGGACAAGTGGTGACACACATCACAGATGCGCCTGCATTCGCTGAAGCTCACAGCGGCAAGGAAGGTGCCAGGTTGCAGACCGAGTCCTGCGAGCAACCAATAGCAAAGGACGAATCACCTTCCGTCATTACTGACTGGATTGAACATTTGTGTAGACAGAGCAAGTATTTCTTTAAACCAGGCATGTAACTTCCACTTCTGTTTTCTACAGCATGCCGACACGATTGGACGGAGAGTCTCGAGTCATGCAAAGAAACGAATCTTCCAAAGTGAATTATTAAACCACTCAACCTCATATGCTTCCATATGGACAAACACCAAATTGAACGAATCATGCGAATCCATACCTATTTACACACTCATTCATTCGCCCTATTCCCTGCTTCCACTCTCAGCAAAAGAGCCAAAATCCAGCGTTCTATCGTCCTCTTCCTGGCCAAGGTACCTAGCTTGTTGCTCTTATCCATCCCTTACACACACCAAGCAGCTTAACAGCACGCAACACGCCCCCATCCGGGTGCGTCGTTTGGCCGAGAGAGGGGGAAACTTGGCCGGGATGTGCCAGGACAGGACAATCCAAACGCTGCCCTGTCCCACCTCTTTCCTTCTTTTACTTTCGATGCGCCTCATTTTCATCCCTCTAACACACTCACACGGGGGTGTCCGCAACGACCGCCAGTCCTACTCCTGCTTCTGCGGCATGCGATTGTAATGTAGGCTGCGTGCTTTCCCTGCGTTCGTCTCTTTCTGGTATTGGCCAAGCCCCAGGCTGCAACAAATATCCAGTTATCCAGCCATGGCATCGAGACAGCCTCCTCAATTTTCTACTTCCGCTCAGTTGCAGACGACACGACCTGTAAACTTGGAACCAACTCGTCGACGGACCGTGATAGCACACGACAACATATGGACCACCACTCGTTCGTTGGGTCAGTTACCAACCAGCATAGCCAAGAGCCCCATCACCACCAGCATCCATCCAGAGTCTAGGTCATGACTCGAGGTTGCCAGTTTGGCTCATAAAGCTGACTGACATAGTAGTACTGGTCCTCGTACTCTTCTCTCGCCAACACTTGTTCCCAATCTGATTCTATTCCAGGAAAAGAGGAAAAACAAAAGTTAGCCTCCAACTCGCATCCGCCATGTGTCCTATGTTTGAGATTTGGGGCAAGGTATGTATAAATGTATCTGCAGCATTGTAAGAGTACAACTCACTGTGTTCAGCTACTAAGTTCCGTGTCTCGCGCACGAATCGCATGGCGTCTCCGTCAAGCTCCGCCATGCTTTGGAGGTCTGGATCCTTGCATTCCGCAGAGAATGGGTAGATCGCGCGGTTGCAATAGTGGAAGTAGGCGAGAAGTGTATTTGCTCCTGTTTTTGTTTCATCAGTCAATGACGTGCCTGTCAAATATGCATCACATGGTCACATGGCCCAATAACCACGAACAAGGAAACCCGGAACAGTTGGTGGGCGGCGGCGGCCGCCCAAAATAACCAAACAGCATCGTGACACTCTGCTTCTAGATTTGCCCCGCTCCGGGGGAGAGGGAAATTTGGGCAAGTCAAGTCGGTAGGCAGCCAAGTAACTCACCAATGTTGTACTCTCTGACGCTGTCTTCCCTGGCAAATCGCCTCCCCAGGTTGTGTTTTTTGGCGTAATCTGCGTCGTGTTTGGTGATGAGGGCGATGTTGTGTAACAGGATAAACGTCACCAGATACGTGGTAAGCCATGTTCTCTGCTTCTTCTCCTGAGTCATCTTCTGCAGCTCCTCCAGCGTGTCTCGGCGAAGTTGGGGCTGGACCTGATGGATCAGGATGGAATCAATCTGCGCTCCCATAACCGGAGGCAGCGGGATCTTGCCGCACAAAGGACTGTCCGGGTCATCGATAATATTTTGCGGCATGCCCAGCCTCTCCTCCCCGACGATCTCGAACGACTTGGTTGTCAGCCTTACTGACATCCAGAGATCGAGAGTGCTCTTGATCAGCCTGCGTTCGGTTTCGTGCGTGGATGAGTGCTTCATAATCTTAATGGCAAGAGAGTATGTACGTTGGAGGAGCTTTTCCTTGCGCAGCAGGTAGGTGCAGCAGTTTCCCAGGGCCCGCTTGATGTACTCGTTGAACGAGGTCTTGGCGGATTCCATGTCGACGATAGCAAAGGCCGGGACTTCGGCTCGCTTAACCTCGCCGTTCTTGGAAACCCACTTTCTGTATAGGCTGTCGCCAGGCTGCGGTTCGAACTGACGGACCTGGAGCTCGATCCATTTACCGGTATACCCTTCAGTGACTCTGATTGTCCTCACTTCCGAAGAGGCCCAGTTTCCAATGTCATCTACCACGCTGTCTTTCCAGCGCTCGGTCCATTTGTGGTCCTTGACTTGACCAGGCTTGAATAGCTTGATGTCCATGATCTTCCAACGCAGGCAGTTCAACCGGTAGATCTTGGTGGTGTTTGCCGCAATCTTCTTGCATCCCAGGCAGGGTCCTTTTTCATTTTCAGGATCGAGGTTGCACTACGTAGAGCAGAATTGCATTAATGAGGGATGGTCCAATGACCGATGCGACAAAAAGTACTACTGACCCGAATTCGCTGCATTCGGCACCTGATACAGCTTCCAATTTTCCTGGTGTGAGCTGTCTGTTCACGCTGGTCGTGGTTCTTGAAGGGGCCACGTCTGGCTGAGATGGTTCTTGACTGGGGAAACATGTCAAATGCTGAGGACCGCTGTTTCATTTCGTATCTGATCGTATCATTCTTCACGCCAAAAGCTTGCTCGGTCATGTTATAACCTTGATGTGTGCCCGGCATACTTCCCGTCCGTCCATACACTGAAGGGTCAAGTTCAGCTAGATAGCTGCTTGAGATGAGTGATGTAACTGTGGGACTCCCAAGATGCGGCTGGGGCGGCCGAACACCAGCATTTTTCACTGCTGCACGAGAGCTGTCAGGCGAACCATCGTAGTTAGCGATTGGCGAAGTGGTGGGATAAATCATCTCTTCTCTGGCTGTCAAAGGCTGCATTCCAGTTAGTGGAGTAGGCTGAAGTGGCGGGTAACTGGCCAAGAAAGGATCCCTAATTTCTGGATCACCACCATTCCCAAATAGGTTTATCGGATCTGATGGTACAGATGTCGAGCTCATGGAGACTGGGGTGGTAGGCTGAAAGGATGCCACGCCATCAACCATAGCTGGTCTGACACCGCCATACTCATGCTGTGTGGTAGGTGGGAGGGGTGAGTATTCTGCAGCCACAGTCAGAATTGCGGGTTTACCATATCTGCCAACACCTGTGAACTTACCTGAAGGGCCGATAAAGCTTGAGAATGGCGGGCACAAGTAATCTCCGAGGCAGCTTGCTAATGGCCCGCCACTCCAACCTGGCGGGAAACAGCCAGGCTCAGCAGCAAAGGCAATAGAAGGTTTGCGGAACTCGTTGTTGGGATCATGATTTGATCGCCCTCTGGGTGGCGACTTCTCCTGGCTCTTCTCATGCCCAGATGCATCGTCCGTATATGATGTTGACATGGGGAGGGGTGGATTGAGACGTGGCCTCTTTTGGGAGTACGACTGCAGCTTGGTGAGTTCCAGAAGAGTGCCAACTGGGACCTCGAGACTCGGTGCGGCTTTCTCAAGCAACAACTGTCGCTGTTCTGGACGATGCAAGTTCAACAGATCGTAAAGAGACACTGTGATAGTCACCTCGATGTCGGGGGCCTGCCTAAGTATATACTGATTGTTGAGCGGCAGGTAGTTGTTGAGCGGCAGGGGTGGGGTCTCAAAACATCCGGGCGATGATCGATGAGGGAAGTCCTGAAGTACTGGCTCGGCAGGCGATTGCTCGGGACAGTAAGCCCGGCGCTTCCTTAAATTGGGGTTCTATACAAGCAACATCAATTCACCGCACATCGGATGAACAAGAAGGGCAGATGAGAGAGTGGGCGCTCAAAGAAGTGGTGCGTCAGAACCGGTGAGGCGGGCCATGGCAAACATGGGAATCGGGGAGGAGGGCTAGTGTAGGGGTATGGGTAGGATGACCCGGAAGAAGGGAAGAGTGTGAAGGCGTATGTATGTATGTAAGTATGTATGTGTGTGCGAATGTGATGGGGGAGTGTAAGTTTGGGAAACACTCGACGGTCTAGCTAGCAGGCACAGAAGAGGATCAGATATGGAGATCTTCATTCTGGGGTCATGCAGCCTACCGCGACCGGAAAGAAAGAAATTGGGTTTCTTACCATGGCGGATGGAATAAGACTGTGGAGGTATGTCTGACAGGGCGAGAAACACGGGCAAACGGGAATGGGTGGGTGTACTTTGTCGAAAGGTACCGCCAGGTGTGCCGTATTAGGTAAGGTAGGGTAGTAGGTGGAATAGAAGCACGGTGGAAACAAATGACATCCAGCACTATAGCACCCCGGTACCGCTGTGTAGACTGCAAGTAAGCAAGGAGAGGGCCGTTTCAGTACCAAGGTGTACCTAGGGGACGTTGGGGACTGAAGTGAGGTTGTTGCGGAGACCGGGCATCCTCACAGGAGCGCCATCGCCCCGGAGAGAGCAGGTCGTAACGATGAATCAATGGAGAGCTGCAGACAGCGTGACAAAGAGGAGCGAAGAGTGCAGCTGTGGGTGTCAGGACTGTAAACCGTTGAGATAGAATGAGGGAGGGGTGAGAGGAAAGAGGAAGGCCGATGGTGAGGAGTGGAGGTGCCGGTGAGGAACCGGAAGGGTAAGGCAACCTTGAAGCGAGCTGTCTGTGGACGGTAGCACAGATTTCTCGCTCGAGTGCCGCCAACCCAACGCCTAATTTGCCCGAGTAACAAAATGCTCTTCTTCTCCGACTTGATTTGGCCTACCACCAAGAGGCCAGGTGCCGTCGCAAAGAGGCCAATGTCTGCAGAGCTCACACAGATAGATGGCGGGCGAGTGGCCAAGCCTGTGAGCCGACGATATCCAGACAATGGAGACGTCCAACAGACAAAAACAGATTTCGACAGCAAAATATGCAGCTAAAATCAAGCCGAACTGCTCTGCTGTCCAGTTCCAGAAGTGATTTGAGCGACGATGAAGGCGGAAGCAAAATCCCGGAGTGAGCAGACGGGGTAGATCAGTCACCCCGCAGGCAGGTTGATCGATCTGACGACAGTAGATGGAGACAATGTGTGCGGTGGCCGTGAGGTAAATTGGCCGGTGAAGGCGCTATGCTGTGGTGTTCAACCCAGAAACGGCTTGGCCGCAGGACGGTGAAGAACAAACGGGGACCTCAGAGGGGAGGAGTCGCCAACTGAGTTTCGGGTGTTATCTCTACTGTGTCAGGCAGTAGGTAGCAGACAGTGGTAGATGGGAGGAAAGGTACTTGGGAGGAACTTTTTTGGCGCCTAGGTCGGCTTGTCCCACGGGCGTCGGCCAAGCTGAATCCCCAAACTTGTTGCAATGTCGTCCGGTGGAGAACCAAGAGTCGACGGCGGGGGTTTTCCAGGTTGAATGGACGCCTTTGTCTCGTAGTGGCAGTGAGGGATGAAATCGGTGAAGGTTTGTAGGAGATGAGGGGGGAGAAGAGAGATTCACCGGTCGCGGGGAAGACACGAGTTGACCACGTTTTCTGGCGCTCGGCAGAACCAACCAGCTTCCCGGCACGACCTACGTATGGCACGGGATAGGCAAGATCGGTGGACAGCTTAGATGACGCTGGAGGCTGGGCTGGAGCCTATCTACAGTAAAATGAGAGAAAGTCGGTAATTGGGACGTGAAGGAAAGGGAAACCGGAGTCGAGCGGAAAAACGCCCTCCGTAGAAGGCAAGCCGGCGCCCATAATCCAGGTTGCGCAAGGCCGTTGGATGTTGCAAAGAGTAAGGTTTATATGGGGTAAGGCACCATGGGCACCGACAGTCCAACGCTACCTCTGGGTAGCAACAAGCCCAGGTAGACCGGCGTAGACCAGGGTCCTGGACTTGACGATGTGGCTCAGACACTTTGTTCCCCCATCCAGTCTAATCTCACCACTCACTCCAACAGAAGCCGGCCCATCCTCTAGCCTCCTGCACGTCTGTCGCACAAATTAGGATCGCCTCCCGGTTCCAGGACGACCATTTTCCGAAGGCCGTCTCCGATGGCTGTAGCCGTTTGAGTCTCAGTCTTGCACACTTCTCCGAACACCAAATGCCCACAAGGACTGGACGCTGAGACGCTATATGGAATCCGCCATATGCCTCATCTTTGCAACGTCCATCTGACAGATGCACAAGAAGCATGTGGTTTTGGTACCCAGTCGCGAAAGAGCCCCGAGATAACTTTTTCGCAGACGATCAACGGGTGTGGCATGGCACCCTGAGAAGCCAAGGGTGGTTGCTGGACACCTCAACACTAGCTTGATGCAGGAAGCAGGGCGTATTGCACCAGAATCTTTGGCACAGGAATGTTCCCTTCCAGGCTTTTCTAGCCAGGAGCCAGGGCATAGCGGACCCTGATTGAGGATTCAGTAACGTGTAGTCTTCAGAATGTTTTTGTACGTCCGAGCATGATGCAAAGCTATCGGTCATATATTCCAGGCGTTGTCAACGACGAGGATAAGATGATAGCGGTTGACATTGGAGGTGACATGGTAAACAATGCTTACCGGAACAGCTGACTGACCACTTGGAAATCGGTTGTGAATAGCATCCTCGATCTGTCATTCGTCACCACACAACGCGAGTCGCATCGCATCACCTGCATAACCAGTCGTCGTCACCCAAATATCTGAGCACCGGCAGGCAACTCCGTATCGCCGTGAAATAGTATGTCGTGCTTACTAGTATATAGGACAAGGTTGTCAAACGGGAGGCGGTGGGCATGGATAAATTGGGGAGCCACAAACCCGTCAATGCCGAGTCCTTGAATACACTCGCTCACATTACCATTTGTGGAAATTGTTGCCTTTGGAGTCATAGATGGGTTGCTGCTATCGTCGCCACTTCGTCGGTGGTGGGATACGGGCATACGGCATACTGGCTCGTGAGTTGGCAATGGGATGAAAGTCGAAGCCGGCCAACATGCCACAATCCCGTGCTGTTGCCACTTTGTCATCGAAGGAGACAGGTAAAAGGTATCGGATCACTGAATGCGGGGGTGTAGCCAGGTGGTATCATCGAGCCTCAGGCTGGCTTGACATATACGTCTGGCAGGAGATGAATCTGTTATCGATCACACACGAATGGCAGATGGTGTTTTCGTGATATTAATGAAATGCTTGGTAGGAACCTTGATGGCTGAGCCCAGCAAGGCGGCCGTCCGGCCTTTGCTCAATTTCTATCCACGCGTTTGGTGGAGTCGAGATAGTCAACATCGATCCACTTTTTGCCAGCTCCCTAAAACCCCCCCTGAGCCTACAAGGCAACCGTAGACAGAGTGCATACTGTACAGTAGTTGCCTGCCCAGAGCACTGTCAGCTGCGAGGTACATTGCGGGGAGAGAACAGGGGCCACCTCAGAGAACAGGCTCGAGACAGGGCAGGCAGTATCCGATGCCTCACTCACGTGGTAGGCCGGACGCCGGACCCCGACCCCCGACCCGACTACATACTCTGCTGTCCCAAGATTGGGAGGGATTATTTCCTGCTCACTTCCTTCAAGCCGCCAGAACCGCCTCCAACAACAGGAGGAGTCCATCGACCCCCTCGCACTGATTGATCAACACAAAAGTCGCGTGAATTGCGGTTGCAAGGTGAAAGTGTCCCTCCTCGTTGAACCAGCATCTCGGGTTTCCTACCGAGTTCCCGCAGTCTTCTCCTTGATTCGACATCAGACCCCCAACAACCTATCTATTTCCGATAACCGCAGCTTGCGGTCTCGCCCGGACGACATTCCCCTTTTTTTGTTTATCTTGGCCCTTCTTTTGACAAGTATTCGCAATGATCTCTATCAAACGACCACATCGCATTGTCCACGGTCAACATATCGTTCGTTGTCACGCTGTCCAGGACAGTTGGAAGTCTGAACTATTTTCGGATCAGGCAACGAAGTCATCATATATAAAACACACCGTTGGCAAATGAGTGCACGTGCAGTCCTATTCGCCAACGCATCTCATTCTGTTTTCGTCTCTTTCAAGGTCCGTCCGCTCGACGCATTGGCTCGTTGTTCCCACCCCAATACTTAGACTCGTTTCACCAGCCTCCGGTCTGTCTTGGTCGATCCTACCGTCAGACCGGTTTGGCCTTGAAGGAGAGTGGAAGCTCGTATGTGGATATGTTCCAGTGGTGTTCGTTGTGTGGGGTCCATTGACTCTGTCTCGATAAGCTGTTGGCAGCTACACATCGGGTACCTCGATATGTGACAGGTCGATTCTTACCACCAAGGGCATATGAAACGATATCACGGATCGAGTCTCGTGATACGCTCATGAGAGAGCATGCTGGATAATATTGGCCAGTTGCGATCGCGGTTTTCGTCGATGCCAGACACATCCAATGGGAGATAGCTTGAACGGTGCGGCGTAGATCATCGCAGCATTGACGCGGCGATAAACGTCTTCCAGAACCCATGTTAAAAATATATTACACTACATGGAAACGAGGTCACACATCTCACACTCACAAAGCGACTGAGCCAAGTGTTGCCAGAGCAGCAATTGAGACCGCTGCAATACCACCAAGCTCCCAAGCCCACGTGTTTGTCAGGGCGGACTAGAGCCTCCAGCTGAAAAAGCTTCCATGTATGCGGAAAACCTACTGTTTGATCAAGTTGAATGTACGTAGATATCGGATTCAGCTACATTTCGCTCGAGCTCATCGGCTGTGGGAGACCACCACCGGACAGTGACGACAGATGCGGTAGCTTCCTGCCACTTGGTGGACATTGTTCGTGAAAGGCCGGCCATAAATCATTGTCAAGACAACGCTCGACAGTAATTCGATCTTTTCCTGCAGCGTGGTCTGGTTACGAGTTTCAGAAATGTCGCTAACAGCTGGTAACATAGGCCTTTGTCCTTAGACAACACTCACGTCGTTCATTCTTCTCCAGACCAGGGGCCTGGATTTCCCATGACGACACTGAACTACTCTTGTTCTTGGAGTGTTGTGTAGAAGATCTTGAAAGGTCATTTAACTGCTTTCAAGAATCAAACAGTGGCTATGACTGAGGGAATGTCCAATAGGTAGCTCAGGAAGAAAACTTCTAACGCCTTTCACGCAGTATGGGACATGTGTCGATTCCCAAGTCAGGTCTACTCTAACATGCTTTCGAATCAACCGGATCTCAGCGAGCCGTACGGCCTCTACGGCCTCAAGGACGAAACGTAGATATCATCAACTGCAGTGATGCTATACTCATGAACCGCACTTGATCAGGATACTCCCCTCTTTCCTCGACTCAAGCGAAACTGATACTGGTCTCTAGAAGGATCTCTCAGTCACGAAGAGTTGAAGATCATGAAGACACAACGTGGGGAGTGCCAATTACTGTATGTACGCTGAAGTATGAGAGATATCATGATCTAGGCCTTGGGACATGAGCATTATCCCACATCTAGGAAGAACCGCAGCACGCGTACTAACACGGTCTGTTGCTCTCATTCAACGAGCTATGACACTGGCTCTTTGGATGGCTTCATGAAACGAACCTCAGATGAGGATAGAGGTCGAGTGTAGCAATCCCTGTGTGCCAAGCACCCATTTTGGTGTTTGTTGCTCAATTCGCCAAGTGCCATATTGCTTTGTTGGTTCAGTACGATTGCCCATTGCGCGTCATCACTAGGTGAGTTGAAAGTATGTCCATGTCAACCGCCAATGGAAACGAATGGCCGCAAGGACATTGGTATCCGAAGGCCAGCTTGATCCGCGAGCAAACTGTCAACATGAGGGCCAACAGCACAATCAGCGACAACAGTTCTGCCATTTTTGTCCATTCTGGGATACTCCTGCATGGTTTCCACTGTAGCAAACACTCGGTGAGAGTTCGGGCGGGTCGAGACCCTGCCACGATGGTCCACATCACGTACCGGCCATGCAGCAAGTGGACTATTGACGGATATGAGCCTCGCCGCGATGTTGAGATTGACAGCAACTAAGGAGACTGGCCCTTCGAATATACCGTGCTGGATTAAGTACCAAAGGAGGCATACTCACATGTTGAAGTATTTACACCTTACGACTCCAGCGTCGTTGACAGTCCTCAGTCAATCGGGCCAGCTCAATACAACTCCGACTCGACCTGCAGTGCCAAATCCCGGCCGCACCCTCCTCTGACGGCCAGATCCGAATCTGATACCCACAATTGCAAAAGAAATAGGCAAGAGCTTTCTTTTCGTTCTCCAACCCAACGTTCTTTCTTTTTTTCCCACTCTCGGGTGACGACGACGTCGGGTGTTTGGCTCTTTCCTTTTCTTTTTTTTTTTCCTTCTCCGGGAGAGGGGAAGGGGCCAGCCTTGAGACGGCCAAATGGCTCTTTCCTGCTCGGGTGCCATCATCTCTTGATCTTGACATTCTGTTGGCATGTACTGTCATGTCAAATGAAAATCGAAAACATTGAATATGGGCTAACTAGCTGAAATAAGCTCCCTTTTCCAGCATCTTCGTGTCATCCTTGTATTCTTGCAGATTGGCGTTGAGTCACTTCTGCATCGATAACTGTGGCTGTCCATTGCGATCACCTTAGCCACTTTCTCGCATTTCTTGCGTTGTCAGAGTCCAAAGTGGTCGCGATCCACTACCTGTATTTGGACAGTCAGCCCCAGTTGTTGATGAGAAGGACATCCTGAGACAACTGCTCGTTGCCAGCAAAACCCTTACTGTTAGTATCTCCATCGGGTGCTTTGTCCGCGTTTTGCTAACGCAATTCTCGAGTCATAGTGTTCACGGCCACCATACCTCAAGCAGTGTATATTCCACCCTTCGGCGAGACTTCTTCGGAAGTCAGTAAGACACAATGAAGCTCACTTCAGCCTCCATCCGTAACGTTATCCACCCGACAGCTGCCTTTGTACCGAGCGTTCCAAATTCCTCAAGCCCTCATTCCACCGAGCCAGAATCTCAGTCGTGGCTCCACTCCCAACTGAACCCCAAGAACCGAATCGATAGTCTCGAGTTACTGGAAAACCCCCTTTGGAGAATCGATGGGTGTACCGGCCAAGGAACTCAGTTTTGTGCACTGCCTCTGTTCTTAGGAAACCATATCCCGCCCCTTCGATTTGATGTGTTCCTCCCTCAGGAAGCGGGCAGCTGCCAACGGCTACGGGACCTCCTCGACCTAGATGCCGCTTTCCACACGAAGGATACCGTCCGAGTACAGAGGCTCGGCATTTCGCGTCATATCCTGCGAACACTGCAAGCGTGGACTCAATCAAGTCAACAGGGCGACAACAAACATAGCTTTGCTGAGATGTATAGCAGGAACTTGCCCTTTGGATCCCGAATCATCTTTGAGAATCTTGAGTTTGATATCCGTAACATCAAAATTACTATTGCCCAAACGTTCCACCTCGAGGGACAGCTCCTTGGACTTTCGAAGCTCGGAGCCCACCTTGGTCTGCCTCAGGATAATCTTCCGGAGCCGATAGACATCTTCAAGCTCCACATCGTGCGTCAACTTACCGAGAGTGTGTGCCTTGTTTGCATAGAAGATGATGATAGTGATCGTGGGATGGCCATGGCCACAGACGACACCGCCAACGGAACAAGGGCGAAGAAGAGGAAGCTCTGGATCTTGAAGGCCTTGACCAGCGGCACCAAATACCTCTACACCGAACTGCGTAATCTGCTGCAGATGCCACCCCACCCCCATGTCATCTCACGTCCGGTACGTCTTGTGACCAAGCAGTGTCAATTTGGAGGCAAGAACGCAGTCGTCGGGTTCATTATACCCTATCATCCAGGTGGAGGCCTCAGAGACACCCTACCGCTCCTTCGCATCCATGGGCAGCCTGCGCTCAAAGACCAACTTAAATGGGCTATCCAGCTGGCTCAGGGTCTGTTACACATTCATGACAAAGGCCAGATGTACTATCCCGATCTCCGTCTTGACAACATCCTCCTTTCCGAGGCCGGAGACATAGTCATGGTAGACTTCGAGCAGCGCGGGCTGTGGTGCGAGTTTGGCGCGCCTGAGGTGAACGCCCTGGATTACGTACGCATCCTAGCCAGTGACAGCTTGCTCGAAGACAATGATCTGGGCCTCTGCATACCCGAGGACATCATAGCGAGATACGCCGCTCTGCTCACGCGGGAGTTGCCAGACTGGGAAGCCCTAGAAACCTGTGAAAACTACAGCCAACGGCCGGAAGGTCACACCAGCTTCAACATCGCATGGCTATGCCTCTCAAAGGTGGAACAGGAGGCAGCGGTAGTATATATGTTGGGAAAACTACTCTGGTGCATCTTCGAAGGCCAGAGTGGCCCGGACAAGGCCGCTTTCTGGCAGTCCTATGCTCGCGAGCCTGATTTGCAGTTCCCAGCGATGAGACAAACCCCTACTGGGCTGCGAGACTTGGTGGATCAGTGTACCAGGGGTCGAAGGGGGGTTTTGTCGAGCCTGATCACGCGGCGGGGCAGTAAATTGGTCTTGGTGCACGAGAAAGACACTCACCAAGGGTCTTGTTTACTTGATGGTACTGTCACTGATAGGGAGGAAGACGAAGAAGAAGGAGAGGTTCTTCAAGTCGCGAAGAACTGGTGGATCACAGAGGTCAAAGCTGCAGAAGACTTTTTGCAGATGCGACATGAGATGAAAGAGCGTGGTGAGTGGAACGAGAACTACTTTGACCGACCGAGTCTCAAGGAGGTCATCAACCGTCTTGAGGATTTTCAGAAACGAAGTTCGCAATTTGGTGAGTAGTACGATGCACTCGATCAAGGGGAAATCTGGTTTCTGATTTGTTTTCGCATCTGCACAAGTTCGCCGGTTCCATTCGTAAGTATTCCATCCTTTCTGTGCTGTTATATAGTTAGTTTCATTCTTTACTTCGGGAGTCTATATAGAAAATCAAATATAAGCGTTCGCACCCTGTCGTCCCTACGAGAATAAGTCGTTGTTTATGGTAAGCGCTTCCTGTTAAGAGTCAATGTTTAGTTATCAAAGTGTTCTCTCTGTCCGACTGGCTTGTGGCAAACAACCAGCAGTATGGCACTTCCCCCTTATTCGTCCACTTTTTTTTTCATTATCTACTTTTGCTAGTACCCAAAAATTATGTATCAGAAGTTTCCAACATTTGATAACAAGATACATCCTTTCTTGATTCGATAGTGTCTCTCTTTGACTTTGCTCTTTTTCTGCTTCACGTGGATCGTGTTTTTTTTCTACACATTAGTGCCTTCCCTCCAACTTTCCCCGTTAACTTGCTTTTTGGAGTTTCCACTTCGGCCTAAGACCATTATACCATAGATTGTGCATTTGCATTCACTGTTGGTGGCGTTCAATGCGCAATTGGCTCAACTTGGCTCGTTTAGTTGCGAGTATATGGAAGAGCATTCAAATAATAGACACACACACAAACACACCAAATGGAAAGAAAAAAAAAAGCTTGTAATGGTCAGATGCCAGCTAGAATTGTGAAACAGAAGCTGCCTATACATGTAGAGAAACAACTTCGAAACCATGGGAATGTTGGGGAAGAAATCTGAATCTCGGCCTCTTTTCGTGCGTGGTGTGTGGATGGGCGAAGCGGTTTCACTTGTCAAAAGATATTCTTACTATGATTCTCTGCCACTGCTGAGAGAGTTAGGGTTCATAATGCTGTAGTGTCCCCGATATGTATTGATGCCACATGACTCTCACATTAAATTAGTGTAGTGTGATCGAAATCTTGTGAGGAGTCCGTAACACTGCTGTTGCTGCTCGTAGTGAGACTGAGAGAGACTGAGATGATGTTGGTCAGGTGAATGGCATATTCAGAGAGAGAGGGGGGAATCCATTCATCATTTGCATATCTTCACAACTCCCCAGACTGTTCCCTACAGACAAAGCCATACTCCTTTCATCTTGAGCTCACTCCCACTCCAGATTTCCTTTTTCGCGATGTGCGTAAAAGTGGCGTACGATACCCACAGAACTCCGAATTATCATCCGCTTGTTGTCTAGACCGACCATCGATCGGGATGAGTAACTGAAAGTCCCCGTGGGGTAGAGCCACGGCCGGTGGGAACAAATGATTGAAAAACGGCTGGTGGAGAAAAGGGTCCAGAAACATGCCTACATCAAGACAAAATGGTCTTCGCCAAATAAACGAGGACAACCGACTCGGCCAATCCAGTATGACTTCGTGATAGTGTGCCTAGCTATTCTTGGAGGTTTGGGAACTCTTGAAAAGACTTCACGGGGTTTTCTAAGGCACGTTCCTTTAGTTGGGCTTCTGCCTAGCGATTTCGGTCCGGTTTTCATGATGTCTTGCGATTTCCATTACAGCACTTGCCTCTTGTGTCGATTGACAAAGGAACTGAATCGGCGGGGGCCCCGTAGGTAGGTAGCCTTTCGAAAACATACAGTAAAAACTTTTGTTTTTGCAAGCCCCCTTATACTAAAATCCCCCCTTTTTCCAAGGATTTTAACTGTCCGCGAACCCTCCAAATAGCTGGGAATACAGTCCGATACTACTCTCTTTTGCAGGACCCCCACCCTTTTGCAAGAATCTTGGCTGTCGGATTCGTTTGCAAAAGCAAGAGGTTTTTACTGTATCGGCCTAATCTTCTGCCTGTTCTTTGAACTATCATCTTGACGGCATGCCACTACGCGGTACCTTGAAACTTTTTCTGGTTATTGAGGTAGCCACTCGTGTGCCTACGCTAGCCGGTGCGCCCGCCCCACCTCCCTCTTTCCCCCGTTGAGCCCGTGCCCGCCTTTCATAGAAACTACGTGTACTGCAGTCGGAGAGTACTAAGACCGGACCATGACGGGTTCGGTGATAGCGTCGTTGTATCATGCAGGAACACAATTCTTTCTACTAGGATCATGCATGCGTGCAGCACGAACACCTGCCATGTGCACTGTGTAGCGTGAGGTGTGCCCCTGAAGAGACGTGGTCAGAGCACTTGGTCGTGTGCTCAGGCATAGAGCGCACGAATAGCCAACATATGTTGATGAACTTGATGCAAATTCAGCCAGAAACAGAGATGGTGTTTTCGGTGAATAATGAGGTGTGACCTGGAAGAGATCGATCATCAGGTGAACAACCTTCCATAGTCTGATTCCTTGAATAACTTGGGGTATGATAGGTGAATAAGCTGTTCCAGTGTTGTACACCACCGAGTAACGCTCAAGAGTTGGTTCTCATTGACTTGCCATTCCCCGAATCATGGTCTTCGAAGTTGATTAATTGAGTAGCCATGTGGTAGCTTTTGGCATGCCAGTGGCGCACCGAGATTTTGCTGGACTCTTCATTTCTTCTCAACATGCTCCTCGTGTTCTAGCCGTTCGCTCGGGCCTTTCTGTTACATCGAGTCCGCTGAAACGATACTAGTCTTAGCTTGCGGGTTGCAATCTCGTGTGTCAACGATTATCTTATCCTAGCATTTATCCATGGCCACAAGCCTCGTGAGATGTGCGAAGGAAAGATCGAATACTATCTGGTATGTTTTAGTTAGTAAGTGTGTTCGGGCTATTTTTTCGCACACCTCGCCTCGCACTGCGGGCTGAATCAGTGACAAACCACCAAAACAGCTTTCCGTTGAAGGACGACAGCTGTAGATCTGGCCCAGACAAAGGGTTTCCACCATTCCGGCACCAGAAACTTCAAATCCGTCCATCATCCGGTACTAGTAGCAGTTGTCCCATCGTTATGCTGTGTACCATCATCCGCTTTTGTCCAACAAAAGCCACTTCACCGCTCTCTGAGGTCCTCCCTCCAATCCGTCCCAGCGAAACCTATACGAAGCCCTTTCTACAAGGGAAGAACCTCGAGGCGAGATGATGGATTTGAGCTGAGTTGGAAAAAAACCAACCACCAACAGTGTCCCGAAAACGGCTCCCAGTCGTCCCTTGGACATTATCAGGGTACATTTATGTTGTTGTTAGGGCTGCCCTGTCTTCGAAAATCAAGAATACACTAGATGTTCTTCAAGGTAACGGCCTCGTCAGGCCCACCGGAAGATCGCAATGGGAAGTGTTTGCCCTTTCGTATCCAGATTATTGGAGGGCCAAGCTGATTCGGGGACAACCCTCCAACAAGAATACACTCCCAGAGGGACCACCGTAGCCCAGGATATTCGAACAGTCAGAGGATAGGAAAGAGAGCCGCAAACGTCAAGGTCTTCCGAAACAGAGGAGAGGGTTCGGGGAGATAGGGGGAGAACAACAACTGAATCACATATACGTAATCAAACCCTAAGCCCATCAAGGAAAGTCGGACATGGTGCCGAAAGCCGTTGGAGAGCGTCACCCCACCCAAGGTCCAATCCATGTGGCACGGCGCCTTGTTCTAGGCCAAAAACGGCTTCGTGATGGTTTGGAGATTGTTGGGTTGGCGCCGGGACACCGGAACCAGAATTGCGCACTAACGTGTGCTGAGCGAGCATTGGCTCTTCCAAGACGCCGTTACCAACATAACAATGTGAAGCCACGCTGCCACAGCGGGTGCACACTTGAGTACGAGATCTTGGGGAGGAGGGTGCAGTAGCGAAATTGGATGGTTGTGGCTTGGGACTTGAAGCTTGGCATTGGATGGAACTTGTGGTTCCAGAAGCTCGAATGGTGCAGTGGCGTTCTCGAGCCGCTTCAAATTTCGGAATCGTGACCATTCTTCTGGGGAGGTGCCACCCAAGAGAATACTGATTAACAAAGCCAGCAAAGCGAGGGAACAGATAAGATGCCAGCGGGAAGTGACCGCGCGATGGGCCACATGGTCAGGGTGTCCCAGCTAGCCTAGAGGGAAGACTCTTCAAAAACTACAAAGCCGGGCAGTTAAAACCGAAAAGAGCAGAACAGAGCGGTTCCAAATCCCGGTGTTCGAGGTCTGTGGGTGTTCAGAGTGAAAGAACGAATATGCGGTACCGAGAAAAGGGGGTGCCTATGTAGGAGGGCGAGGAAAATTTAGTAGGGTTACATTACCTGCCGCACTGGAAGCAGCAAAAACTGTGTGATAGCCATGTTGGTTGGGTATCTCTCCCACTCAACATGTCGCTATGGTGATGACAGTGTGCGGTGGATGAGACAGACGGCCAAACTCCAAACATTTTGGAATGTCGAGCCGTCGCAGATGGAGAGACCGGGAGCGGCAGTTGTCGAGATCCGTGTCGCTTAAGGACATCTGACATCAACACCGTGACTCCGTGACTGGAGGTGATGGCGCAGTACGGACACCCACGGATATCGTACAATTGGGATTCATGTACGGGGAGTTTCAAATTCAGTGACGGATTGCATGAGAACGTCGCGTCCGTAAAATGCAACATCTAAAGCTCGAGTGGCGGGCCGATTACGGTATCTTGCTGTTGTACTGATAAGGTTGGTATGTCAGTATTTAGCAAAACTTTGTGGGAGCTGGGCGTTGTCGTTGCACTGCGTACACCGTCACAGCTGTGTGATGACCGAGCGGATCGGGCAATGCGTTTATTTGACAACCGATGAATGAGATCCTAGGTGTTCATGTGTGACAGAGGCTGCTTGGTCCAAGGAATGTGCCGCTGCCTTTGAAAGACCAATACAAATCCCGTCCTGGGTAGTCTCTCTTGGATGGAAAATGTGAGACAGAAAGCCAGTGCTGGAAACTAAAGGCAATGCTCAGGAAATATGGTGTTGGTAATCCATGTTGCTGTCGGATGGAAAAATGGACAGGGCAGGAAAAGAAGAGTGCCCCTGTTGGCCGAGTCAAAATTAACCCCGCGTCCAATTTGGGGATGAGGTCGTCGATCGACTGCACAGGCCACCTGCCGTCTACATGCTACCTATGTCATGTACTGCGTACCTTCCACCTTATTAGCACACCACCAAACTAGGTAGTAGGGATAGACGATACTGCGTAGCCCCTAGTGCCAGTAGGGCATGCACCTCTTCGCACCATGGATAGAGGTAGCGTAAAGAAGCCTGGGCTTCCAGTCCCGGTCAACAACAGTGGACTGAAATCCAATGCCATTATTCCTCCAACAGCCAGCTTCCGATGCGAAAAGCACCGAACATATGGAAGCCCAGCTATTTGGTAATTTCGGACCGTCACCTGAGCATGAGATGATTGAAGAGCCATGGGATGATGTTGGACTGTCAGCCAGTCACTACTAGGTGGTGTACGTACTGCGTTCTTGGACGTTTTCGTCGAGTGTCAGCACTTTCTTCCAACTCGGATGTCGCTATTGCAAGTTCTCCCTCCCTAGCATCCATGCCATCCATGTTGTGGTGATAATGTTGTACAGTCCTGCTTCATTCTATACCTACAGTCATGCCCCTGGCGTAGGGCAGTCGCAACCGGTATGGAGCACGGCGGGTAGGTATCTCTAGTGCAGAAAGGCAGCCGAGCAACGGAAGGATGTGCTGACTGTCAATTTCGCTTGCAGACCTTTTGACACCATCATGGCCATCCACGATCCCTTCTCAAAGCAGCTTGGGGTAGCCGTTACCTACATTTGTTGCGCGACCGATCGGTTTTTTATGTCAACAAAACGCCTGTCTGGTTTCTCTTCCAAGGCTGCCAGGCGGGAGCGGGTCTAGACCTACCCCATATACATGTGGGCCTCACGGAGCACGAACCGAACTGTCTGCCAGCTGAGACACTGTCGGCCATCATCGTCATGAGCATCATCTGATGGCGTTTTTGGAAAAGAAGAAAGAAGAGATTACCGGCGCTTCGGGAGACTAGAGGAAGCCATTCAGTGAGTCTTCTTCGCCTTTGAGATGATCTCCTTGTATACTTCCTGACTGGCTCGAATGAGATGTGACGGCACTGGTTTAGTGGTTTCATGACCAATGGATGGGCAATCTTCACAGTGTGAAAAATTGTCGTCCCAACTCGTCAATTCCCGTGGCTGCTCTGGTCACGCCCCTGAACCGTCCCTTCAGCAAACCACACAGTCAGGAACATGGATGCGATATCGTCAACACTTGGCGTTCCTCAGGGCACCCGTCGTTGCACCCCCGGTCGGTCCCCACTGTGACTGGACCCGGCCTCCTGGGGGCCTGGGCCTGGTCCCATCCATAGGAAACATTGCCTTCTTACGGGATCACAAGCGAACCAAGGGACCCCGAATCAGATGGTCCCGAATGCGCTTGGACTGCCATCAGCCCTCGCTTTCCATGCTGATACTACCTCAGGCGGCGTGCAATCTGGGACATGTCCCCGCAGCACTTAGCACTCTTGGTAACAGTGGTCCTCAATGCTTCGCCATGGTTGGTTAAGATCGCCAACGAAAGAGACTGGATGCAACCGCATGGTACAACACTGCACGCTGAATGGGCATGGCCGTACCAATTGGCTCAGTTCCCAAAGATGAAGGCCCCCCGTTTCCATGTTTTCCGCTCCACTCCGATTCTGGTCACAAAGCCCAGAAAGCTTTCTGTCTTGCCTTACTGAGCAGGGCGTGCGGGCTTGGTGGTGTTCTACAGAAGAGAGGACCACATACAACACTACCTCAGAAACCCCAAGGAGGGCCGAAAGGCAAAACAGAAAAGAAAGGGCACACCATCTCGGCCCAGTTGCCTGTACATATGGGTGCCACCACCCGCTGCCCTCCACATGGTGCTCGTTTTCCGGAAGTTCTTTTTTTGGTCCCTTTCTCCCCGTTCCCTCTTTGGCACATCATGAGTGCTTGATCGCTCATGCTGATACACTCCCTATCTTGCAGTCGAGTGATATCATCTTTTCAGTGTATTGTATTTCCTTCTATACCCACCATACCCTGTGTCAAGTATTCGATTTAGCTTTGCGGGTAGACCACGTCCCCGAACACTCCTTTCTATCAACCTATCATTTGCCATTGTCTCCACCCTATTCCATCTGGGCCTAGGGTCTTGATTTGACGACTAATACTTCTTTCCTACGCCACGACGACGACGACGACGACAACTTTAACTTCGTGCGCCTTTTGTTAGCGATTGTCTGGGTCACGCGTCGACTATTGAGACCTCAAAGCCGACGTATCTGGTCAGTACCAGAGCGCGGCCTTTTCTTGGAGGGAGCTGAAGCACATCAGCGGGTAGCGGCCGATCCCCAGAGCCAGGAGGGTTCACAAGTCGTTCTACAGTAAAGTTCAAAGACGCAGCTTCGAAAGACTACACGATGGCCAACGCGACGAACCCTTGTCCTGCGCCCTTTCTGAGCGAGGCGCTTTTTAACGATGGGGGGTGTAAGTTACCGGAACCGAAACCTCGTCATCACGAGCGTTGCTGCTAACTAACATACGACCAGTTGTGGATGGAAGGTTATGTCAGGAGGTAGGCAAAGGGCTTAGGTGCTGCCTGCCTTGCCCCATGACCGATTGGGCCTATCCCGACGAATTCAATACCCTGGGAGAGGTGGCACAATGGGTCGCAGTTGCTGGCACTGCCTGTTGTGTCTTTCTTCTATTGTCCTGGATCATTCTGCCCGTCGAAAAGACTCACAGACATTACTTGAGTCTGTGCTTGACCACGGCAGTTTTGTTTATGAATGTAAGTACTTGGCCGCTTATTCCCTGCTGCCAAGTGGAATTTCGAAGCGTTGACATGCTTTACAGCTCGGTTTCGTGATACCTCTTGCCGCTCAGCCAGATGAATGCTACGATGCGATCACGCCCAATTCGATGCAAACCAACTCACCTTGCGCAGTATCTGGCGCATTCTTGATCTTTGGAGGTTGGGGAGGAGTGATGTGGGTGTTTTTGCGCTCCCTATCATTGCATCTGCAAATCTGTTGGCAGGTTGTTGTCGGACGTAACTTTATGTGGTTCTCCCAAGCTACCGGCTGGGGAATTCCCATTATCGGCATCATCATGGCCCTTGTTTTTAGTGGCGTTTCTTTCCGCTTTGGGTCGACGTGTCATATCAACCACGAGAACAGCTTGGCTGACCTTTGGGTCCCTTTGCTGATCTTTGCCGGACTCACCATCTTCATTCAGTTTGCGACGTTTGGTTATTGCATCAAGGTCTACCTTGCATCGCTTGCCGACAACAGCGCCTCCACCGAAAACTCGAACTTGCCTTCCTACACCAACAGCATCCGAACCATGACGCCCAAACAGGCATACAGACGTGTACGCCGAGTCATCCAGCTTCAATGGAGGGGGATTGCGATTGTTCTGATTATCGTTACCGACGTCGTCCTTTTCTCAGTCGTCTTTGTTTTCCAGGACAACACGGTGGAGGCCGTTAGGAGAGACCCGAGCACTGCCCTGGAATGGGTTGCGTGCCTTGCGATGATGGCTGGTGACAAGCACAAGTGCTTGGACAAGGCCGGTCCACTGGTGGTCGACATGCCCACTGTTGGCGCAGTTCTACTGCTTCTCTCGGTAAAGCTTCCAACCACCATGTTTTATTACCAAACAATTACATAACGTTCTAACCTGATAAACTATGTGCTAGATAAACGGCTTGTGGCTTTTGCTCCTCCTCGGTCGATGGTCGATGGTGACGGGATGGCGCGACCTCCTAATGACGGTTCCTCAGCGGAACAAGCGAGAATTCGTCTCCGTCGACGCACGGATGGACGATCTCAAGAAAGACACACGTTCGTACGAGATGCTGTCCCGGGAAAACTCCGGGAAAAAAATGGACGACTCAGTAACACCCTCCGTAGTGACTCCGATTTCGCCCACGTACAGCGCGTACAACACGTACAGCATGAGGTCGCCCATCAATGGCAGCGGCGGCGACGGCGGCTACCGAAGCCCTTCGCTGTCCAGGAATAATGCCCCTGGTGAGGGCACAACTTCGCCGGGGCCTCGCAACTACCACGACTCCGGCAACCGCTCAGGTCGCCGAACCCCCGATTACTTCGGCAGCACAGCACGCTACCACGTGCCAACAAGGTCTTTTTCGAGCCCTCGCCCACCACGGTCACCGCCACCAACGGTAACATGGGACGCAAGAGATACATACGCTAGAGCTTCTCCGCTGCCGGAGGAAAGCCCGTATGGGCAGGTACAAGGAGCGTATGGTCAACAACCTATGGGAATGAACAGGATATGAGATGAATGATGACAGGTGTATAATACGCAAAGTTGAGGGAAGGAAAAAGATTAATATTTCCCTGAAATGAATTTTGACGAAAGTAAAATAACTCCACCAATCCATACCCACACGCATGTTTACGTACCTTCTATCCCCAACCACGTGAGCTTTTCATCTCATCCCTATGGACATGCATAATACTTTGGTCCTCATATCAGCTCTCAATGGCCCAAGAACCCTCGGATTTCGCCACGACGCCAGGGTCGTGCAAAGACGGCGAGGTAATCTTTCAGAGCTTACGTCCTGCATGCTTGCATGCAACAAAGTCCGGTAATGGACCAATGGCAAGCTCATTTGCGTGGATGGAACTCCCGGTACGGGTGATATAACTTCGTCACCGTCTTGATGACAGCAGACGAAGCGCATTGATCTAGTTCGACCTTTTTCTCCTGTCATACCAACGTCCTGTATTCCGAAGCTTACCAAATGCTGGTTGAGAAGCCATGCATGAATTTGAGGATATATCGATAAAAGCATTGAAAGCTAGTCCCGGTAATCAATGCTCACATTGAGACTCTCCATGGGCCAAGACAAATTTTCCCGGTAGAGCAAGATAAACTTCGGCGGAAGATGGGAAGAACGAAGACGGAACGGGACGTGCGGAGTCCCCGGAAGTGGTTGGGTCAGCGGGTCATCGGCGGGCCGGACACCGGAAGGGATTCCGGTAGAGGTATGGTTGGGATGTGTAAGGCGAGTTGACTTACACTACCTTAGTGTATGTAGTGTACTTGACAAACGGAAAACCCCAAAGTCCGAAGATGCCGTTGAGTGATGGATTCGGAAGACAGCGGTCAGATATACACCTACCAACTCGTTCATTCCCATCGTATGCATAGTTCCCAACCTGGAAGTTGGTCGCGCGAGTCACCCGCCCCTTCAGTTGCGTCCGGATGAAGAGGAGTTCCATGATGCTTTCTACATGCCGCAAACTCGATGATCTCCCTTGGCAACTTCGACAAAGGGGGAAGGAGGGCATGAGTAGAGGAAGGAATGTCCGGTCACAGACGCCCTAAGCCGGGATTGGCTTGCTTCGTCTCCGGTTCATCCGGAATCCGGAGGTTTGGATGACTGCGACGCAGAGTGAATCTGAATCTGTTCAGCTCTTCGCCCGGGCTTTCAGTTGTGTCCGAATTTAGTGGATTAATGCCGGTTTGGTGCCGTTCGTTTGTTTGGGCCAATCAAGCGTGTTGATATTCACTTGGCAGTATTCATTAACAAGTTTTCCATACCTTGTCTTGTCAGCATCGCCCATAGTCGGACACTTTTGTCAGAAAAAGAAACCGGATGAGACTGTCCTTCGCTATATCAGTTGGATGTACGATTTCCATAACTATCGGCTTAGCCCTTCGTTTGGTCTACGGATAGGAGGCAAACATGGCCAGGGACCCAACGTTTGTCGGCTCAAATCCAAATCTGCGGCAGAGATAGCAAACTGATCAGATGATGCCGAAACAACCCGAACCCGAACCCGGAAATGATGGCACCGGTATTGGTACCGATGGCTGGCACCGCGGTCGCCGCCTTGTGCTTCCACTCTCCAACCAAACCTCATCCACTTACACCGCTCTCACCAGTCCCATCTCTTGCGCCCGCCGGCGCCGACTTATATCACTTCCACCAAACACAAAAGCTGGTCGCATGATTCTCCTGATTTTAGCTCTGCTGCTGGGCTTCTTCCTCCACTACATGTGGAAAGCCGAAGCGGCCTTAAGCAAGCCCTGGAAACCTGACGACAGCTCCCTCGCCTTCAGCAAAAGACCACTCCCCCCGCCATCCAACGAGACCTTCCTGTCCTCGGCCGGATATAAGCTTCCATTACGAACCAAAGGGCGGGACATCGTGGACCAAAATGGCAAGCGCTTCAAGCTCTCGTCAGTCAACTGGTACGGCGCCAGCGACGAGCTTTTTATTCCGGGTGGGCTTGACGTGCAACACCGCGACGTCATCGCCAGCACGATCCGTTCGCTTGGCTTTAACAGCGTGCGCATGCCGTACAGCGACGAAATGGTCATTTCGAACCCGGAAGTCCCGCTGCGCCTGTTGGCGGCGAATCAGGATCTCGTGGGCAAGCGCGCCCTGGATGTGTTTGAAGCGACGGTAACCGCCTTGACGGACGCCGGGTTAGCCGTTATCGTCAACAATCACATCACCACGGCGACGTGGTGCTGCGGCGCTGACCCGTGCGATGCCGGCTGGGCAAACGATTTCCTCCCTGGCTCGCTGTGCCGGGTACGACAGACGGAGGCGGAGTGGATTGACCACTGGGTGACGGTGATGACCCGCTTCGTCGACAATCCGCTGGTGATTGGGGCCGACTTGCGCAATGAGGTGCGCGGGCTTTGGGGCACCATGCCGTGGGAGAGATGGGCTGCGGCGGCAGAACGAGCAGGCAACGCCTTGCTGAGGATAAACCCGGACTGGCTGATCATTGTGGGTGGGACCGAGTCCGGTAACGACTTGACGGGCGTGAGACGTCGGCCGGTCGAGCTTGACGTAGCAAACAGACTGGTGTATTCGGCACATGTCTATTCATGGAGCGGTTGGGGAAGCATGGGAGGGCGGTATTCGAAGCGCACATATGCATCCTTCGTGAAGGCCATGCGTCAGAATTGGGGATACCTGGTGGAAGAAAATCTGGCGCCTGTTTGGATTGGAGAGTTTGGCGCGCCCGACCGTCCTGGCATCGGTGATGCGAACTACTGGCAGAATCTCCTGAGATATCTTAAGGCGATCGACGCCGACTTTGGATACTGGGCCATTAACCCGCGCAAGCCAAAGGACAACGAGAAAGAGTCATACTCGCTCGTTGAGGATGATTGGGTTACGCCGGTGCTGGATTATCGTATGAAGGACATGACGGAGCTTATGAGACAGTGAGTGATGCTGGTGTCTTTTGGCGTGATAGCATTTCTAGGATATGGTATCTGCTCGGATGTGCGAGCCAGCTTTCCGAAGGTAGTTTGCCGGGCTCACTCGGTTAGAACTAGTTGACGGGTTTGCTGATATGATTTGGGAGTATTTATCATGGCGTTAGGGGGGAAGCGTAAAAGATGCAATATAGCCGACCGGGAAAAGCGAATATATTTGCAGTTACTTTTGGGCCATATGTTTTGTAAATTTACTGCCTCGTTCCGAAGACTACCTACTATTATGTTTTCCTGGCTGTCACGAGAGCGCCGGAGGACAGGTCCCGGGTTGTCGGTGTCTGGGCCGTGAGATGCGGCGTAAGACGGGAGCCTGGAGGATCGCAGGACTACAGGCAGGCCAACCCCGCTTTGCCCACCTACACAGGTACCTATCCAGCAAACCATACAGGGAGTGCCCGCTAGCATACAGCTCACTGAAACAGGCATGCAGGTTGCACCAGAGGTACGTCTTTGTGCCTTGTGTAGGAGCCTCCCGCTGTTAGCGCGCTTCGTACCCGACTCTCCACTGATCCCTTTGCCAAATCACGTTTTCATCTTCCGTCCCGTCCCTCACTGCACCCGACATCTTCACCCACACCGGTGACGACAATCCGCACTCATTTAGCTCAGGCTCTTGCTTTTGGGAAGGTGCGCTGTGCGCTTAGCCAGGAAGGTATAAAGACTTGGAGTCTGCACAATCAAGCTGCGATTCCAGCTTCGGACATCCAAATTGCAGCAACGAAGCTCTTGGTAGATTCCCCCCCCCCCCCTTCTCCTGCATCGAACCTCAACGGCTTGATTACCCTTTTGAGTGTGCCTCCACTATCTATCGCCCGAGTGCTTTTTATTTTGCCTTGCGGGCTACGCGATGTCCACCTCAGTCCGTGCCGGCCTCTACAACTGAAGCCCTTACAACGTGGCTGCCATGTGCTTTCCTGCCGAATATCATCGCCCTCTCAAATTCTATTTTCATTCAGTCAAAGACAGCCATTTACCACCTCTCCTATCAATTTCTTCCTCATCATCAACACGAACTGTTGATGCTTAATGGATCCGCCACACATCAGAAGCATCAGCTTTGACATTGGCCCATGATGGAGCCGTATACGCATATTGACACTCCACGGCCATATTTTAGCTCGGACATGAGCGAAGACGATAGCGAGGCCGACGACGCCTTTCGTTCTGGGATAGACTTCCTCAGCGTCAGTCGCTTTTGTCATGTCCAGACCGCAGAAAGCAGAGTAAGCTGTGAACAACCCTCCTGAGACTCTTGCGTAACGGCACGGGCGCCGGGACTTTCTTCGAGGTTTTGCCATCTCTGTGCTAATTTCAGACATTGGACAGTTCGGTGCAGACGTCGGCCCAGAGATCAAAAGCTTTGTTTACGAGCCGTGGCATAGTTTCGATATAGATGACGACGTCTCTGACGACAACACGGATGATGAATTATCTGATGAGATTGATAGTATCGAACTCAATGAACACGACTGGGCTATAGGGGTGACTCCTGATATGGTCGCTACCTGGGGGCCATTTGCAGCGGCACCACTTTCCCAGTCTGCGGCTACCATGCCTCCAACACTACTACCACAAATACCGACATGGCTGCAGGCGCCGGGGGTAGCTGATGATCTCTTGCCCCAGTTACAATTGCCGCAACAGCAAAACCAGCTCCAGCAGCTTCAGCAACAGGAGGAAATGGGGTGGGAGCAGAGGCGGCAGAGGTTTCCACGAGCTCAGAGGTTGCGGTTGAATTTGACTGCTCTGTCACAAAAATACAACGTGCGTATATCGGCTGCTTGGTGATAGTTTGAATGCGCTCGCTGACAGGAGACGCAGCTTTATTTTGCATCTTATCAGAATAAGATACACGTGTTCATCCCCCGGAAGGGCCCGAACTTTCTTCCCCGGCCCTGCTTGGTACTGAAACCTAAAAAACTGAAGACTGACTGGCCCGTCAGACCAGCTATCGATCAGTCGTTCGGCCACCAGATCAACCACCTTATGATCGGTAATTTGGGCCACCTGGAAGTTCTCTTTTTTGCCTTTGATGACGGCGATGTCGGAGCCTACTACACGCACACAATTGCCCACTACATTGTATCAGCGAGTCGACAAAGGGAAGCGAATGGCAGACCTCCTCCCCGCTCATTGATACCCAGAGAATTTTTTCATGAAAATGTGGGCGAGTCTGCTTGGGGAATTGCGATCCATCAAGAATCACGTCTACTGGCTGTCAGCTCCAACAGGGCTGAAGTCACGGTGTTTGCTTTTGCGCTCCGCCAGCATCGACATCATAAACCGAAAGATGATCTTACATCTTATTTAGATCCATCTCCCCAGATCTGGCCCGGCCAGACAGCTCTTGGCCTGGAGAGAGACGTCCGGACTCGAACTAGGACGTGGAAGATCATCCTACCTCTCGATTCCCGTGGAAGCAACATTCCGAACATATCTTTCTGTGATGACGAGCAAGGTTGTGCGGAGTACGTGGTCGCTCAAGATATAAAGCAGCGGACATGGTTCCTTGACATATGGCGACTGGGATATCCTCCAGTTGATATCATGCATGAGACGTCCAAGATGAACTACGTTACGCCGTCACAGTGAGTATGCATTTACGTTCCCATGGTTCCTTGTTCTTGTCCTCGTCAGATGAATTGTTTTGACTGACTTCAAGGATCTCAGTATCGGTTGGGGCGTCATGGTTTTGCCTGATAGATCTTTCAAGCAAACAGCATCCTTACACGAGTGCTTAGGTCTTCCGCCTTCGGAGTTTTCAGGTGGAACATTGCGTAGTGCGCAATTATGGCTGGACACAACCAATAGCCTTTCCTATGTGAGGGATCTGGCAAATCCTCTCTCATATCTCATTCCCGCGCCCCATAATTCTTCATTCATCGGCCCGGAAAGAATCGCTGGGTTCCTTATTGAGGAAGACTTGGACGAAGAAAGCGGGGCGGAGGAAGAGACGGAGATTTTGGATGCGGCTAGGCCATGGACCAACGTTGATTTTGGGCTTACCGACCGGCGGTCCATAATCTTGAGCGGTGAACATCCCAGGCCTCGTCAGGCTCCTCGGGCGTACCTGGATGATACCCACGACGGCATCCATATGGCTCAGTTCATCGTACCGAGATTTGCGCATGTTCCAGACTCATCAAGCCTAAGACGCGAACGATATTCGCGCTGGCGCACCCCTGCGGTCCCGTTCAGTAAATGCGATTTCTTTTCGCGCTATGCGACGAAGAATATGTCCATACTCTTGACCTCTTCGACAGATGTCTGCTTGATACATATGGATCCCCAGGGCACACCTGTGCTTTGCAGGCAAGTTCTTCCGTATCACAACCACCTTAACCGGCATCAGTCACCATATGACCTCCACCGAGACTATTCGCAGCGAATCGGTATGCTCCTCCACGTACCAGAGCTCAGCCTCGTAGTCCTCGGATCACTCTGTGGCCGTGTTGCCTTAGTGCGTCTGACAAAGACGGCAAAGCTTTTCTACGGTGCACCAGTACGCCGTGGATTCCGCGTGGAAATGGTTTTGCCGCGTCGGTCAGAAGAGGACAAACGGATGCGCCCGTGGTGTACTCTCCATGGCATTGCCATTTCCCCTATGCCTGACCCAAAAACGGACGGTATCTCGTTGCACAAAGAGGGCGATGAAGGCCAAGAACCGGCGTTGAAGAAATGGAGGCTGGTACTACATTATCTGGACCATACGATTTTAACATATATCATTATGAAAACAAAGGACGACGAAGACCTACTCGTTGTCTGAAGAGAAGCGGGTGTAGAAACCTTCAAAACTGATAATAAGAGCGGTTGCGCATTGCAAAGCGTCTATGAAGTTCAAGCGTGGGTGCAGGGGTGGATATGCTCACACAAAGTTGTTGCATGTCACAAAGCGACAATATATTCTATCTATAGCCTAAAAGATATTGATATTGTGAGCCTCTACAATCCAGCCCTGGCTTTGTCTGTTGGTCTGGTACAAAAAGCACCCGTTTTGACTGAAAGCGGGGAGGCTTTCGGGCTCCCAACGGATGGGTGCCATAGACTGGTATCTTGCAGTTTCAGGGATCTTGAAGAAGACGGAGAGGGGGGCATAAAGAGGCTTCTGTAGCGTATTACGCCCTGGTCACTGTCCGTTGCTTCAAACGAAGAGCGTGATTGAGGCTAATAGGACCTCACTGCTCTACCCTGTTCAACCCATCGCCAAAGAACCAGACTAACAAACGAACCGATGTTGTGTTGGATTGCTCAACTTCTTTTACTCTCTAAAAACAACGTAGCGTACAATTCCGACTGTTAGTCTATTGGATTTTTTTTTTTTTTTTTTTTTTCCAAATCATGTATGAGATCATCTCTGGGGAAAGCGCCGTCTCCTGGTGCCCCAACCTTTTTTGAGGCTCATGCGAGGCTCTTGGTCCAACCATCTTACAAACGTGGAAGCCAGTGTCCAACGGTAGGTACTATGAAGATGGCTGGCAATCCGGCGATTCGGCACTTTGCAGGACCGTGATCGTCCAGGCCCGGTGCGGGGTTGGCGTATGTGTGATACGATTGGCTCGCGACCGTAGGGTATGTAACACTACTTCCCGTTTATAGTTAGCGCTTGGCAACCGCCTGCCGGCAAGCTCAACCTTAATTCCACCTCTGCAGCTCCGTCGGCACGAATTTGTCCCCGATCGTCCCATTTCACTTCAACAGACCAACCTCCTCCACCGTCATCCCAATTGCCGTCGTATCGCCTATCATCGGACCTCACCACCTTCCCTTTGTTTACTGCAATCCTCTAGTGTACCGCTAAGCGACTAGCTGAGGTAACATGGTCACGGTGCGACTATATGCCGTCCCCTCGTGGTCGGGTACTACGTAGCCGGTCAACTTCCTGTACACGTCACCACCGTACATTTTCCGGGCATATTTTCCGTCAAACAAGCCAGGATCTTGTTTCCAGCCATGCCATTCAAAATGCTGACCCTCCTTCGCCGCGTAAACCATGATTCAACAATCCTCGGTCGTCCGCAGTTCGAACCACCAAGGGGCGCATAGACAACCGTCAAGATGCGTTCGCCCATCAATCCTCAAGCGCCAGGCTACAGTCCCGTTGGCCTAGCTGAGAAGGAAGAGCTGGTGTTACGCCCGCTTCTTGCTCATGACACGCAACCCAGTCCTGGGCAGCGTCTGAAGCGCAAACTGTCTATCCTCCTGGCTTCTGGCGCCGTCTCGCTCGCCGTCCTCTTCGCGTTCAACATACTTGCGTGCAACGGCACCCTGTTCGGTATCAAGCCGCGTCCATCTGAGCTCGCCAGCCCGACACCGCTTCAAGCCCGAGATGATCAGAGATCTTCGGGCGAGGAGGACTGCCCATGCAAGCCCACATCCACGGTACCCGATTACTTCAACACCAGCCCAGGCCCCTGGATTGGAAAGACGGCCACAGGCAAAGCGCCTTTCATGGCCCAGACCAGAACCTTTGACCATGCTGCTACCTACGTACCTAATGCGCCGCTGCAGACACAGGTGCCGATTCAGGGCTGGCACCCAGGCAATCTGAGCATTTTCGGCATGATGGGATTTCTGACGCCTTATACGCCCTCGACAGGGTTTGGCGTGGACGAGTGGCCGCTGCCTGATGGTGCCGAGATTATTTGGCTTCAGGTAGGCGCACTGAGATCTAGAGAGTAATGCGGCACTAGGAGTACCGCGATCAATGCTGACCATTTTTGTCGTGCTTTAGATGGTCTCTCGTCATGGCTCTCGCTATCCCACTGGAGGCTCTAACGTGGAGTCTTTCGGTGCCCGTCTTGCCAATGCGACTGGCAAGTTCAACGCTACGGGCGAACTCGAGTTCCTGAACAACTGGAAGTATCAGATGGGCACTGAGATTCTCGTCCCCAGAGGTCGCCAGGAACTGTTCGACTCTGGTGTCCTGCACGCTTACATGTATTCGTCGCTCTATGACCCCAACACCAAGATTATCGCTCGTACGACGGTATGCAGCTGGCTGTCCGTAAAGATCAGTTTTGGAGTTGGGTGCTAACTAGAGAAACATAGACCCAAGACCGCATGCTGAGATCTGCGGAGAACTTCTTGGCTGGTATGTTCGGCCTGGAATGGTAAGTTCTTTCCCCTCCACGCCCCACCCCCATGTGATATTACGAACGGTTGAATTTGGATATTGATCTTGTAAAGGCCCAACAACGTCACCCTCGAAGTCATCATCGAAGGCTCCAATCTCAACAACTCCTTGGCAGGCTATATGAACTGCCCCAACGAAAGGGAAGACGGCCTTGGCTCTGCGGCCCGCGATATCTGGGTCGGCCACTACTTGCAGAATGGTACGCGGATTCTGGATGATAAATGGCCTGAGTGAAATCAGTTGCACACAGCTAACTTCATCAACTCCAGCAACTGAGCGTTTCTCCAAGCTCGTTACGGGTTATAACTGGACGCTCGATGACACTTATGCCGCCCAGACCTTATGCGCCTACGACACAGTAAGTCAAGCGCCACCTCGCTCCTACCACTTGTTTCATATCAAACTCACATTTTCTGTAGGTCGCAAGCGGCTACAGCCGCTTCTGCTCCCTTTTCACCTATGAAGAATGGATCGGCTTTGGCTACTCCCACGACCTCCAATTCTACGGCAACAACGCCTTCGGCTCCGAGACCGGCCGCGCCATCGGCATCGGTTTTCAGCAGGAAGTCCTCGCCCGCCTCCAAAACCACACCATCCCCTACTCCGAGACCCAAGTCAACGTGACCCTCGACAACAATACCGTCACCTTTCCGCTCAACCAGTCTCTGTATCTCGACTTCTCACATGACACCAACATTGTCTCCATCCTTGCGGCTTTTGGATTAACCCAGTTCGAAGAGGACCTTCCCGCCGATAAATACCCGGGCGAACACAACTTCACGGTGTCGCACATGACGCCCTTTGGCGCGAGACTCGATATCGAGATTATCAAGACGCCAAAGCCGTTGAAGGCTGATCGGTCGGGCTATGAGGATGAGGGAGAGGAGACGAAGTATGTCCATTTTGTGCTAAATCAACGGACGGTCCCGTTGGGGTGGAGCCATCCGGAGTGTGATGCGGAAAGGGTGGATGGGTGGTGTGAGTTTGAGACATTTTTGAAGGTGCAGGAGAAGATGCCCGGGCTGGCGAGGTACAAGGAGGTGTGCTTTGCTGATGGTGGGAGTCCGTAGGGGAGTTTGTAGGTGGGGGGGGGGGTCCTATGAGAAATTCGTAAAAGTACGGTTTTTTGGAAGCACGCCTGTTTGGGATAGGTGGTGGACTTTCACGAGTAATGATGATGAGCGGACAGGCTGGAGGAGAAATGAGTGACGTGAAGAGAAGAAAAATCGAGATGAGGTCATTTGTATCTGGCGAAAGGGCCAAAAGCTTACTAGGTCTTTCTGCTGCCAACTCGAAGCTTTTGTTCGCAACAATATTTCGATGCCAAAGCTTGATGAATTCATGTTCAAATCTTGACGAGCTTGGTTCTGATGGTCCAAGACAGCCATATACCTCGATGCATTTGCGGAAGCATCTACATCATACGTTCCGTCTGCACCCAGAATGCGCTTCCAGTAACATGGCCGTCCCTGAAAGTGAACATAGTTTCCGATGTTTTTTTTTGTTTTCTTCTGGTGTTTTTTTTGGTTCTAAATAAAAAGAGAAAATCATTGCTTCAATCTTCACGTATCTTTGCTGACAATAACTTGTAATATAGACTCTACGTCGGTAGGTGTGTGACACATGCCGGTCTGTCTATTCTACATTCAAATAGGGGTAAGAGTGTCAATTATTGACATCGTCGTAACTGATATGTTGGAAGAGAGCCTACCTAGACTCCGGTACATTACCGACCGTCTCTAACTAACAAAGTCGTCATCAAATTGCGGTGGCATCTCGCTCCTTGTCTTTTCTTGGAACTAAGGAGTAGCGTCACGGTCCATGGTCGTGCTAGACTAGGTGCTCACTAGTGTAGATGTAAATGTGGAGGCTCACAACACCTGTCTTGTGATGTTTTCGGTGTGTGTTCTCAGGATTCCGGTATGTGCTACACAAGAACAAGGCATCACCGCCATTGTTCAACTACACTACTGATAATAAGTGGGCGCTTTCCCCGACTTCAGTTGGAGCCGTTGCATGGTCTCCTTTTGCACTTGGTGAGGCTCGTCGGTTTATTTTGTGATTGAAGCTCGGCGGCCCCCATTTCGGTGGTTTGGAACATGTCTGGTCCCTGTTGTGGTCTAGTCCTCGGAGGTAGTACTTTCACGAGGTACCTCATCCCGCCCTTCCTTATGGGAAGTTTGGAGTCTAGAGGTACCTACACCACTACATAGTAGAATTCGCATCTTCCATTGCCGGTAAATGTGTACGCTACGTACCTTACTACCTTCTGAATTTCTCAGCTGCCTTTGCAGATAAGGCTGACGTCGACTTTCATTAACGAGGGTCCTTACATCAGAGAGCCATCGAAGTGGACTTTTCACTCAATGCTTCTTGGCAACTTTGCTTTTTGGGCTGCCAAGATGACTGATGCAACTTTGACTCCCAGTCCCGGCCGCGGACGCGGGTGCGGTACTGTACACTACTTCAAGTAGCTCGGCGGGCAAGATTGGCAGCCGATGGGGTCTCGGCAGTGGTTTTGACAGTCGTTAGTCAACGTCATCGGCGGCGTTGACAATAATAGGCATCATGTGCCGTGTTTCCTCTCTTGTGCATCACCTATCTACCTGTTTGACCGATGAAATTGGGTATCCATTTTGGCGTCTCCCCACCAAGAAAAAAAATCAAAAAAAAATCGGAGCGACTAGTAGTCACTGCAGTCATTTCCCCTGAAAGTGCATCATGCAACTGAAAATCCATAACATCCCTAAAATGCCTACAGCTAGCCATCCGTAATAAGGAATTTACAGTATAGGCATTTGTATGATTACTACCTATTTGCATACTAACTCGCTGGCCAAATTGGCACATGTACATCTATTGGCGCACTTTTATAGGGACCTGCAAGCTCAACCTTGCAGGGAAATGGGGGTCTGAAAACAGACCCGGGAAAGACTGTTGACTTCGCGACCTTCGTATGGGGGTTGGAAGGTAAAAAGCCTATGACTTCAAACAGGGGTTTTTGCCTTTTTAGACAGTTTTGGATGTTCGTTATCTCAAAAACTCAACTTCTTTATCGTCAACACCAAAAGAAAATAAATCGAATTATTGGATTTTTCTTGTAATTTTAGTCAAATGATAACGGCCAATACTCAAGGTTAGAATGGTGTTGTTAACAACCATGTCTCAAAGTTGATATTTGGCTAAAATGCACTTTATTTTTGGTCTGATATAGCCTCTTTTTCCCTGTTCGAACCAAAAGTTCTAAAGCTCTCTTTAGACTTTTTATCGAAAACAGCTATTTTAGGCCTTCTACCAGTCTTTTTTGCGCCCGACCCCCATACGAAGGTCGCGTGCAGAAAAGACTGCCGCACCCTCGAAAACCTCACTGGACGCTTACTGGGACCTGTTTTCAGACCCCCATTTCCCTGCAAGGAACCTTGACGTAAACTACAGGGTAGCTGATAAGGGAATTGCTAGGTAGCACTATTCCGATTTGACAATTGGCTGAACCTTTGTTGACGCTAAAATGGGGATTTCGATCGGTCAAAAAGATGTCGAATACTCACCCGGACTCACAATGGCAATATGAGGACCGCCCCCCCCACCCTGGTGAAAAAAATTAGGTTTCGATGCCCCTGGACCTGCACCCCAGTTTCCTTTCAGTCACCACCGATCCAGGCGGCTTACAGCGGCCCGAATGCCGCGAGTCGAGACTCGGCCGCACCTTTTTGTTGATGACTGGCCTCGGCTTTCCGCTCGTAAGTGCGGGCGTCCCAGAATTGAGCCTATCGCCGACGCAGTTTTCTTTCTCTTTTGGTTTTTTTTTTCCTTCTTTAACCCAAAGAGCCTGTGGGGTTTTGCCTTCTCGAAGTGGACTAAAGATGTGGACGACGAGTGGATAGGAGGGATCGCCGCCAGGCCGTGGAGGAGGTCTCGTGCCGTGGGGACTGCAAACTGCAAAGAGGTGTAGCGGCTGCGGCTGCGGCTGGAGATGAGATGAGGGTATCAGTGTCGCGGAAGATGGAGGTATCGAAAAAAGTGTCGAGGTTCGAGATCCAAGTCAAACTGAAACCATGCAACCGAGCTGGTGAAATTGAACAGGCATCCGGCCATCGTGTAAAACCGGAAGAGGGAGGCGGGGCCTGCCGCAATGGCGGAGCCCGAAGGAGGCTGACCGTCGCCGAATCTGTCCGAACCTGGAAGCGTTGACAGAAACCTTTGTCCAACACTCGGGCTTCTCATTGGTCCCCAAGTCCTGATAACCTATCTCTTGGCGTACTTGGCTGCGGCCTGCAACCCCTGCAGTCTAGGAGCGCAGGGGCTGCCCGGTAATGGAGCTGTCGAGTTCTGGACCCAAGTACAGGGATGCAGAATGGGCGTGGCCACCCAAGAGGGGGGTGGCCTGTGAAAACCTCCCAACGTCGTGCCTTCTTTTGTTCGCAAGTTCCGTCATCTGGGGTGCAGCACGCCGCTCGTTCCCACGGAAGAAAACCAAAATCGACGCCACAGAAACCCCAGGAACACACGACGGAAGCTGGGGGAAGTCGTATTATATCCCATTGCACCCAATTGGCGTTCAAGTGAACCCAGAACTACCCCTGTTGTCTATAACGATGGATGTTCGGTTTGGCGGGGTGTTAACTTGTGCGCGTGGGGGAATGCGCCTGGTCGGAGTTTGCGTTCGGTACCAAGGCCACCCAATATTTTCCATCATACCCACCGTGTCAGACGAGTAGACGTTCGGGTCTCGGTCGATACTAAACTCGGCTTCAGGTGCTACTTGGGATCATTTACGTGAGTTGGCTTTGTCTCGATTCGGCCGCGTATGCTTTAGCCCAGAGGCACCAGCATAGAGGGCTATGAGGAGGAGAATTGTCTCCAGATACGAACCTCTTGGAGGACATCGACGCCCTTTTCTATATAACTCTACCTATCTGGGTCCGTTAGAACTCAGGGGGATCTTGGTGATATCACCAATTATAGGAGCTTCCAATAGTGCATGCACGGAATGTAACTGGAAGCAAGCGGAGCAAGCACACGTGTACGCGCAAGGTCCTACTGAAAGATCGTGAAGTTGGTTGACGAGTTCGGTGCAGCTGTGTCTAGTGTAATGTCTTGGTTCTTGGCAGCCCGGAATTGGGAGGCCCTGGAATCGACAAGATAACGCCACATTGGAACTGGAGATGCGTGAAGATCACAGGAAAGCATATGGGCCACTGCTCTGCCTGATGTTCACTCCGTTGTCGGGCGAGAGCGTCCCATCACATCGACGGGCATTGGCTGTCTACTGTAATTGACAGTGTCCCTGCATTCATCGGGCACCTTTGAGTATACTGTGTATACATCGAGTAGTTTGGGGTTTCAAGGTTATGTGAATTGCAAAATGAGTACGTACAGTACCTCTTGAAACCCAATCCCCATACGACGAACCGCACGTAAATCGCGAGACAACGCAAGTCGGCCCACAAGTCAAAGAGTCACAAAAAAAGAGACATTGAATTCACAGGCTCATGTTCCCCAATGTGCCGCCCCAGAATGGGTTCGGGACAGCGGACCTAGGTAACGGCAAAGCATGGAGGGCGGAGGCATGCTGGTAGCACAGCACCGCACATTCCCGGAGTCGGGCCCTTGTCCCCTTGTACTACATCTGCATTATCATTGGCTGAGTTGGGATGACAATTCCGTAAGCTTTTTGGAAGCAGGCTCTACCTGGCCAGGAACAAAGTTCTTTTATGATTTCAAACGAACTCCCGAGTTCCCTATCAGTGGATTGTGTATCAGATTGTCTGCAAATCACGGCCGAAAGATAAGGTAAAATCACGGGGCCACTCAATCTTTTCAACCCTCGGAGCACATGTAGCGAGCTTGAAATAAGATTGTTGATCAGCTAAAAAAATTCGTGCGTTGACGGATATGCAAATGTACATATCAAGCCATTGAAAGTGAATGCAAGGCAAGGCGGTTCGGTTCTAACATGAAGAGATAAGGTAGTGTACAATGCAAGTCCGTTAAGCACGCCACGGCTGTACACTATGCAATGTCCCAAAACTTACAGGCTGTACCCTCTCTGCCCACGCGTGCACGGAATACAAAACAACCCTGATGGTA